ATTTTAGGATAGAAGTAAATCAAAAGACCTGAAACTTTCACAATAAATTTCTCTTGTTTAAGCTTGTCTCTATGCGAAATTTTAAGTCAAAATTCAAAAACGAATTTTGTCTGAGAGGGCCCATGGAATTCATTTAGAAGGTGTAGTAGCTTCGCAGCAATAAGCTAAGAACACAAACTTTTTTCAAGATATTCATAGCTGATTTGGTTCTATATAATCTTGACTCAAAAGCGATTTATCAGTCAGAATACTTCCCTTGTAAAATTCTTTTTATTCATAACAAAGTTTATTTTATTTTTTTGATTAGCTGCTCGTGCTGGTGGAGCGAAGAAAGGTAAACAAACAACAAGTCGTAGTAAAGCAAAAGCAGCACAATGTAAGATTTTATTTTTAAAGAAATAAAAAAAAAACTAATATTATGAGAATTCATTTTGATTTTTAGCTGATGATGATGACGATGATGATTTAAAAGAAAATAGTGGTGATGATGATGATGAAAATGATTTTAAACGACCAATGAGAAAAGAACCAAAAGTACAAACAATAAGTCGATCAAAACGTGGTGCGGCCGTAACTGCACGTAAAAAAGCAGCTGTGGTAGCGAGTGATGATGAAGATGATGATTAACTTACTTTTTTTTCTTTTTCTTCTATTATATTAAATTGTATATATTGATTTGGTTATTTACTTTTTCTTTTGATATTATTCTTTCTCTTTTTCCTTCTCTTAATATCGTTTATTAGAGGACTTTGTTATGCATAATACTTACATTTATTTTGTGTTTCATTTTGAAAAAAAAAATTATGAACGGTTTTTTTTCTGTCTGAATATTGCAAATAGAAGACCTGTTAATGAAACCATTTTTTTTTTGAAAAAGCTAATGTTAATTGAAAATCATTGATATTTTTCTAATAGCAAGAAATATTTTATCTTGATAAGAAGAAAGAAACGTTTAATCATTTATTGTACTACAATTTTGTATGAAGATTTTGACAGAAAAACAAATGAAAGGTTTTATTTTCTATGACTCTTGTCATCTAATGGAAAAGAAAGATCTAGTTATATATGGAGAGTAATCAAATATTCTTATACAAAAATAGAATATAAACAAGTTGTATCGTAGGTTTTGTATACAGTACGGCAAGAAAAAACACAATAAACGTATCTTAGGAATTATAGTCATGTTCTACGATCCAGACAAATAAAGTTATCATAATAAAGACAATATCCACCACAGCTTCTGACAAACTGAACTACTTCGATGAGCGTCCAAGTACCTTCCATGTAAAAAGAAGATCGAAAACAGTGATTTTCAACGAATTATTTGCTTTTTTTTTATCGTTTGTTCACTTTTTTTTTTATTGGTTTTCATCATAATCGATATAAAGCACGTTTTTCTCGAGTATTAATTTAGAATCTCAAATTTTTGATTATGCTTTCGAACACCTCGACTAAATCAATGGTAAATATAATCAAACATTTCTGTAATGAAGAGTGAATCGATTTATACAGCAGAATAAAGAAAAAACACACTATGCGAATAATAATAATTTACTGACAAATTTGACTGGTTTCAGCATATCACTCGTTTAATTCGTTCGTGGAAATTTATTGGTCTTAAGCCAACATATAGGCATGTTGTGTGACAAATTGTTAATACCAATTTATTTCTGTATTCATGTTGAGAAATATTCTTGTTTTGTCTTTTTCTTTTGCGAATAAAGTGTAGTTAAACTTATGGAATAAAAGTATAGTATTGATGATAATAAACTTTGACCGACATAACAAGCCAGACTATCTTTGAAAAAAGTTTTTAACTCATTGAACCTATAGGCCTAGACCAGTTCATTCGGAGCTCTCATATCTATTCCACTTCGTTTATGCTCTGTGGGACATAATAGCTTTCAGTTTACAAATTGCTATTGTGTTGAATTCCTATTCAACATATTATAATGGCTTTTGGATAGGTATTTTTTCTATTTTTGAAAGAATTACTATGATGATTATTGGGTTTCAACTATCTTTTACGTTACTTTGTTTAATGCGCATGTATATATTTACCTTGATCTTTTGTACAATGGGACTTACTATTTCTACCATTGATTGTTCACGATCACCTCGATATACTTCAATATCGTCACAATATTGTGATGATAGTTTAGCAAATAATTCAAGAGTGACTCTTCTGACTACATTCAGTATGGCAATTATTCATACTGGAATCAATATGATAGCCATGTCGAAAAAACAACAGAGAATATTGACAAAATCAAATCCAAGGATTTTAAGTAATTATAATTTTTTATGAAAGAACAAAAGAAAAACAAACGCGATTCAATATGAACATTTTTATTTAAATGAAAAAAGAAAATAAATGCACCCTTCTCTCTTTCATTTTCTTTCCAATAAATCTGACGTCACCGGAATCGTCTATATATATATATATATATTTTTTTAAAAGAAAAAAAAAGTGAATTGACCGGACCAAACTTTTGGTAATGATCACTGGGCTTTTTGGTCACTGAGAAGAGTTGATGATGAACTTTGTCGTTTAATTTTAAAAGCGGCATCAACTGTTTGACGTACAGATGTTTGAGAATTGAAATTAATTCCACTTATGGGTGCCATATTTGTTGCTTGTTGTTGATTTCCTGCTTCAAATAATTGTTTTTGTTTGGCTTCATAATCCAAAATATATTTTGGAAATATTGAACGTTCGTCAAAAGCTGATTTTAAATCTAGAAACAAAAAGAAATTTCATATATATATATATATATATGATTTGAATATATGTGTTTTTTTCTTTTACTTTCACCAATCATTGATGGTAATGGACGTCGTCGAATATTATCACCCAAATTATTTGCCTGCCATAAATAAGTTGTATCCAGATAAGCAGTTTTTTTCTGGTCAGGTATTGTTGGTAATTCAAATGTATCAAGAGCCTGGTCAAATAAAAATCATTTTAAAAAAGATAAACAACGAAACAAAAACAAAGAAACTCGACTTACACCATAAGCTCCGCCGGGTGCTAAACCTGTTTTTTCCCATAATAAATAATCTTTTTTCGTAATTAAACTTGGTTGATTACGTTGTCTTCGATTAGTTCGTTTTTCTTGATACATTACACCTTAAAAAAAAAAAGATTTTCGAAAATTACAAAACAATTTGTTTTTATTTAAGAGTATTCATCTCATTAGAAAATTCATTCTTTTGAAAAAAAAAGAATTGAAATTGAGTTTCTATCATGGGATGATGCAGCGAAATTTCTTCTCTCAACATATACATGACTTTTCTATAAAAAAAATCTAAATTTTAATAGACTTTCAAAGGAAAGAATCCTGTCGAATCAGATGACCATCGTTCGTTTGAAAAGTTATCTATACCGTTTTGTAGAGCAACTAGTGTCGTATCGAATGCTATATAGGAAATTGTTGTTTCGTCAAGTTTTAATGAACTGAGAAGATATATACCAGTTAACGAATATTAAAGTAACTATGGGTGATACAATGGATTCAGTATAGGTCTAAATCAACCTATCTCAACTTTTGTTTAAAATTACGTCAATAGACTTCTGTCTCGTCTTCGATCGTGTATATTAAATAACACTCACAATAACTTTTCTCGTACTCAAAACCTTAGCATCTTTCTTAACTTCTCTTATTTTTAGCTATTATGATATTTTACATTCTTCTTTGGCGTCCCTGAGGGCAAAGATGACCAACTATGCAACTTTCTCAGAAGTTCTGTGCTACTAAGCTCTATAAATATACTAATTGATTGGCCTCAGAATTGTTGTGTGTCATAGTCCAATGGGTCAATCACTGTCTAATAGAGACCAAATTTTCGATACGTAGAGGCAAAAAAGTTTATGAATTTTGCGATAAATATTTTTTTGAGTGGAAGAGTTTTTATCTGTTAATAATAAGTTCACCATACCGTATCACACTTGACATATATGCATCTGTCGAAATTGACAAAAGAATTTTTTGTCTTTTAATTCCTCGAAGAAGGCACGGAGACATGCGAAATTTTTAATTTTTATCAGATAGTGAAAATATATTGAATTTGATATAGATTCATATTCTAATCATCCCGGCTACTTAGAATCTAAATTCGTAAAGAACAAGAAAGAAAATAAAAACTAATCTTTGTAATAATTCATTTCCTTATCTTCCTCCAGAGCTTCGACATTGAAAATTTTTTTTTTTTGCCATTTTCGAAAAATGTATGTGTGCCAAACGATAGGACATGATGCGTTTATTGTTAATAGGTGGAGGTCTTTTCGTTCAAAATATCTGTATCATAAAACTAATATACTTTTTTTGATCTTAAGAACCGAAAAGTTGGTCTTTTTTCAGGTATTGATTGACTAATTTGGCGAGGATGTACAACAATTCAGAGGACAATCAATCGGTATACTTAATAGGGCTTGATGACATAGAGTTTCTGAGAAAGTTGCATGATTAGTCGCCTCTGTTCTCAAGAGCACTCGAGACGAATGTAAATCATCATAAAACCCAAAAATTACAGAAGTTAGTAAAAATGCTAAGGTTTTAGACATATAACACTCACAATTGCTATAATATTCGTTAACTAGTATATGGTTTCTCAGATCACTAAAGCTAGATGAAACAGTAATTTCCTATATACTATTCGATGCAGTAAGGATTGTTCTACAAAACGGTATAGATGGGTCTTCAAATAAAGAGCAGTCATGTTATTTGATAGAGCCCTTTTCGCGGATTTTTAGAAATTTTTAGTTTTGATAAGACTGTCTTTTTATTTGCATTAGCATTCAATAAATATTCTCATATAATTTAAATAGAACAGATAGTGCTAGCTTAGGTCGTCATCTGTTTTCAGAACATGATTTGCAATAAGAAAAATTGAAACTTCTCCCATCCGATTCAAATTGTAACCGAGATTTTTTTTCTGTCGTAAAAGTCTAAATGAGAGCAAAGTTTTGTTCCAATAAATTTTTCTTAGTTAATTTCTGTGTTAAGAAAAGTGAGATTTAGTGTCGTGAAGCCACATTTTTTTGCTTAGATATGGATTAAAATGATTATGAAAAATGAATGGAAGCAAATTTCAAATATCTATTCGGACAGAAGCTGTACATAGGTATTAACTTATACTTGAAAGCACCCCAAACTCTGTAATTGTGACAATGACGAAGTTATAGAACTTCTCTTGAAGGCTATAAATCAGCCGGAAGTTTAGTCTAGTATGACGTATCGGGCTGAAATTTTTAGCAGAAGCGTTTCTCACTACGGTCCATATTTCAGCCCCAATGGACCATCCCTAAGTGATAAACCAATTGTGAGAAGAGAAGAAGAGCCTTAATAACTTTAATTTACCAATTGAAGTTGATTCCCACACATTTGATCGTCTCGTTAACATTTCTTCATCTGTTACTGATGACATATTATCAATATCTTGACTTAATACTGATCGAGATTCTTCATCATTTTCTTTTGAATATTCTTCTTGAGATTTATTATCATCTTTATTTCGATCTGCTTGCAAATTTTCCTCATTTATTTTTGATAAATCCATATCTAAACGCCATTGATTTGGTTGTCCAAATGTACCATAAGGATTTCCATTTATATCTGATAGAACAACACTACAATCTGATGATGATGTTAATATAAACATTCGTTCATCTTTTTCTAAGAAATCAATACATGTTATAGAATCTGAATGCGCAGTAAATTCCGCAAGTAATGCTAAAATAAAATAAAAAAGGATAATACAACTTAAGACAAAAAAAGAAGCAATATTTAAAATTCTACATACGTGGTAAACTTTTTCCAACTGTTATTGAATCAGATTGAAGACAATATTGTTCTATATCCCATAGTTTAACAAGACCATTAACATCACCTGTTCCTAAATATTTATTATGCATATCAATTTCCATAATAACACTTGAAACTACGATAAAATATAAAAATCAAAAGATAAAATCAATTACAATCAATTATTGATATACCATCAGTATGTGCTTGAAATTCGCTTATAAGCTTTCCTGTATGCACATTCCAAAAGCGAACAAAGCCTATACCACCACATGATAATAAATTAGCACCTGCTAAATTATTATTTGTACTCGTTGCCATGCGTTTATCAAGAAATCTTAACATTGTAATAGCAAAATCAGCAGCATTGTCTTGTAACTGATTAATAAAGCATAAGAAATAGCATAGAGCAGCAAAAGCAAAAAGAAAAATAGAATAAAACTTTTGCCTACTTTTGCTTGAGTATCGTTTGGACTACGTTTTCGTTGATCAAGACGACGAACAAATAATTCTGATGATGTATTCCATATACATATTTCACCATCCGTACTACCAGATGCAAGTAATTGAGGAAAAAATAATGTTACAGCCATGCATACTATATCATCATCATGTCCCTAGTTTAAGAATATCAAATATTAATAATCTGATGTATAAAAAATATAAATATTTACTTCCGTTTTATCTTTTTCACCTTTCCATTCTGTTGGAGCACTTGGTCGCCCTTCAACTTGTTGTAAGTCACGAAAAACAGTCAAATGTCTACAATGAATTTTATCATGGAATATAACTCATTTTTTTCGCTGTTGTCTTACTTGCTCCATCCAACAGCAACAATACGTCGTTTTATCGCTTCAATTTGTGTTATTTCCACTGCTGTACCTTTACCGGCATCTAATGTTTGTAAAATTCGACCATTATAATTCCAAATCTACATTTAAATTGAATATATGATTAATTTCGACAAAGAGTAATATTTACTCGAATTTTTCCATCACTTCCACCTGTATAAAATTTTTCACCGAATTCATCAAAACCTAAACAAGTTGTATCAAAATTTTCTCCAGTATGTTGTTCACTAAATCGTTTAGTTTTTTGTCCTTCTAATGACCAAAAACTAACATCACCGGCTTGACAAACGATCATCACCTTTAATTATATGTTTAAGTTGTTTAAACAATTTTTCTCTTATATAAAAACTAATAAATACTTGTTTTTGTCTAACGACATATCGTGCAGCAACAATTGATCGATCATGAGTCATAATGCGATCTTTTAGTTCAGGTTTAATTTCCAACATAGATATATTCGTACGAAATGATGCAAATAAACGACTACGTGAATCATCAAACCAACAAAAGATATCCACTAAAACAGAAAAAAAAAAGTTTACAGACAATCATTTTCTTTCTGAAATGTCATATTGTTGTTATTAGACTATCTGAAAATTAGACGTGATTATATTCAATTTATTAAACTAATTCTGAATGTCAGTGATATTATTGCTAGAGTCTTATCCAACGTGAAGACCGACTAGGACGACGGAAAAAGCGACAATCAGTCGTAATGTAGAATTGGTCGCATGTTTGATAGAAGCGTGGTTCCTATTTCACTTCTTAGGAACTTCAATTTTCTGACATGTGATTCAATTAAATACAGTATCGCTCGAGGATCGAGTTGTATATGAAAAATGAAGATCTACCTCATGCAATGGATTCCGTAGATGAGCTTGCTCATAAATGATAATAGAATGTTTACGTTCACATTTTGAATTTAATGAGATGTTACGAAAAGACGAAAACTATATTCATTGTCGAATAGCAAAAACTGCAGTAGACAAAAGCTCCAAAATAAAGAAAAATATATAGAATTATGGGAAATTTTAAAATCAACTATTTGTTGCTTTTATTTTTCAGCATCGTGAACAATTGTCATAGACCCATGCGTCCAAAAAATGGTATTTGTCCTCCAGGATTGTTAAATTACCCTTCTGAAAGAGAACATCTGAATAAAACACTGGTTATTGCTTTCATAGATACAATGTCTGCAATATTTTTTGTTACATTCAATTTCTCAACTGTCTATTATATACAATATGACGAAACCATTTTGTTGGTCTAATTTTCAAAAATTATATCTATTGATATCTTGTTTAACGATGGAGCAAACACAACTGTCAGTCATCGTTCGACTTCATACTATGGTTAGGAGTAGGTCTCAGTGAGACTAAGACAAGCTTAAAAAGATTCGAGCCGATAACCTACTGATAAAGACTTGTGGACATTTTAATGAAATTTTTACTGTGAGCAAGGCATTACCGAAAAAATCCAAAACAAGCAGTTTCGACCTGAAATTTGACCTATAAGCATATTTGATAGTCATTACATTGTTCTAAAACTTTCAACAAAAACGAACATGTCTTTCTCGAGATATTCAATTTCGAAGTAGACTCAATTATTGTGTTCTCCTATGATCAGTCGCTGTCTTTTAGAAATTGAATATTTCGACAAAAACATGTTTGATTTCGTTGAAACTTCTAGAACAATGTAATGACTATCAAATGTGCTTATAGGTCAAATTTCAGGTCGAAACTGTTTGTTTTGAATTTTTCAATAGTATCTTGTTCTCAGCTAAAATTTCATTAAAACATTCATAACTCTTTATCAGTAGACCATGAGCTCAACCTTTTTAAGTTTTTCTTTGTCTCACTGAGATCTACTCCTAGTTATAATATGAAGTCGAACGACGTCCAACCGTTGGGTATGTTCCTTCGTAAGAGATTAGAAATTGACTATAATAAAAAATATTTTCATCAAAATAACATAGAATCTACAAAAAAGTGCATCAACTCCTGAAATTGTAATATTCAAAATTGCATGGAATCATAATAACTGTTTTAAAAAACATGATTGAATGCTTAGTATTCTTTCGTTATTTTTATGAGCAAATTTAATTTGACAGATTCACTTCATTTGTCGATTAACTTTTATTCTTTTGTTTTTTTACTATGAGTAATTACTTTAATTGTTGATGTGCTTTGTGCATATTAAATTTCATATGATTTCACTTATTTATAAAAATCATGAGTAAATTTATAATGAATCACAATTCATTTTTATCAGTTTCATTTTTTTGTTTTCATTCATCATTTACATTTCGATCAAAACAATTCAAAGTAAAAATATAGATAATAATGCGAATTCTTTTATTGTTTATATTTGTTGGATTTTCATCAACAACTGAACATTGGTTTATATTTGATCAATATCAATTTCCAGGATTTTATACACCACTTTTTACATTAACTTCTTTATCAAATAATCAACAAGAACAAAAATATCTTTCATTTGCTTTATCTACATATGACCGTTCTATAATTGTGGATATTAACATTTATAATTCTGATGGAACAATAAAACAACAAGAAACATTAATTAAATTAAATATCGAACGTGCTAATATAGTATTTAATGCATTAAATCATATGATTTTTGTTGTTATTCGAGATCAAACTAAACTTGAAACTTATGTTAATTGTAAATTAATTGATTCATATTTATTTTATTCATCAAATCTAATCAATGAATATGATAATAAAAATATAATTTATCAAATAAAAAATATTACAAAAAATATTGAATATTATGAAATAACATCAAACAATGAATATACTCAGCAGCAAATATTTGATATGTTTTCTTGTAAACAAACTAATGTAAGCACATCTTCTGATAGTAAAACAAAATCCATCACAATCGAACAACCATTAATCCGTAAAATGCAACATGTTGTTGAAAAAGTTCAACAACGTAAATTACGATCAAGGTAAAGAATATAAACAAAAAATATTTGTTCTTCATTTCTAATGCGTATCCAAGGAAAAATTACACTCAATCTCAGTGCATTTTTCTTTCGTTTTTTAATCATAAAAAAAATTTCTCTTACGCCGAAAGATTGAGAATTTCAAGTTTGACGGTGTCAAATTCAGAAGAAGAACACTTACTTAGTCGTTCAACTGCGACGGTCGAGAAAACAAAATATCTAATGACCATTTTTTTAATAAAGATCTCGGTGAATTTTTAACTATCTTAGAAAATTCTTCTTCAAATTCTGCACCTCTAGGTGTATATTTCAGAATTCTAGAAGAAATATCTGGTGGCAACAATTTCGAAGTAAAAAGAAAAGTGCAAGCATCAGAAATCGATACCAAGATAAATCGAGCTCGAGCTGCTCGGTGTAGGCTCAAGCTTTGTACAAGCTTTCCTTACACAATTTTGTTCAGAATTAAGTTTTACATCTGATGACATAACTCAAAAATACCCACAATTGTCAGTTCCAAATCTTTCTCTCGTAAACTTGAGCTTCGGGAACTTTGAATAGATTCTAGAGCCATAAAGCACAAAATCCTCTATTTATTGATATTAAGTAATTTACTTCTGGTGTTAGCTTTACAAAAATTAATTGCAAAATAAAGTTGACAGTTTTGTACAGTTTGAAATTCCCTATCTTTTAGCATATAAAGAAAACTTATCGTGCTTAGGAAGTAAAAGAAAAAGGCATTAAAATTTAGTACAATTTATTTTGAAACATGCATTATTTTTTATTGTTTAGACGTCAAAATAATCAACGTACTTCTTTTACAGTCTCATCTGATTCATTGACAATTATCTATAAACCTAATATTGATAAAATCGATATCAATAATATAAATGTTCATACTATTTTTAAAATACCACAATTAAAATTTTATATTCAATATTATCCAAATGAACATCTTTTTAATATTCGATTTAATAATGAAAATCATACTGAATTTATCTTATATGCTGATAAATCAACTGATCGTATATTATCATTAAATAATAATCTTGTTATTTTTTTACATATAACATCAACAATGATACAATGTTATATTAATTGTGAATTAATTGATCAAGAATTTGTTATTGATACATTTTATATAGAAAATATAATTCGACAAATAATAAATAATAATCAATATGAATATAATCGTCAGTCAACATTAATTTTATTTAATAAAACAATTGATCAAATAGCAGAAATGTTTTTTTGTTTAAAATTAGACCAAAACAATCAAGATTTATTACCAGATAAATATACTTTAAGGTTAATCATCTCTATTCAAATATACAGTAATAGTTAAAAAATATGAAACACCAACGTATTTTTGATGTTTTTTTTTGTAGAACTCACATATATTTTTTGAAGAGAATAGTAAGTGTAAGTTTTAAGTTGAAGTTTAGGTCTGTGAGAAATTTTTCACTTTAAGTATTTTGTATTAGTATAATGAGGCTAAAGAACATATTGAGTTCTACATTTCAGCCTTCAAAGGGACTATGATAACAAGTCTTTTTCTACGATACCGAACATATAAAATAATGGTTTGAATAGCTAATAAAGTTTTCTATCTAATTGCATTTTATACTAAAATTTCATGAATGAACTATGGCAAGAGAGTTTCTGAAAAATCAAATGCGGTTGTTTTTCAGTCCTAGAAGACTGTGAAAATTAGTTCTTAAGAGTATCATCTTAAAGAACACAAAATTCTGAATAAAATGACGGATAGGCGCACTTCCTATGTCCTGCTACTAAAAAGTTATAAACATCACAAAAAAAAGGGTTTTTCAGCAATGCATTGATAAATTTTGCTTTGTAATGGTTGTAAGTTTTGAAGGGAAGATCGTAGGAAATGCGGAAACCTCTAGTTTTATTAAGGATTTTATGCTCCTTAAGACGATATCCTTAAAAAATAATTGTCACACAATCTTCATGGACTTGAAAACTACTGTGTTTGATTTTTCAGAAACTTTCTTCTCATAGTTCATCTATGACATTTCAGTATAGAATGCATTTGATAGAAAACAACTTCATTAGCTATTCAAACTACTATTTTAAATAGTATCATAGAAAAAAAATCAAAATATGTCAGTTTCATATTTTTGATCAGTATTGTATATATTTCAATATAAGATTATATGTCTTTTCTAGAAAATTCACAAATGCACTAGATGTACTTGTTGATAATCTTGATAGTCCAATTAATAATTATCAAAATGAAAAAATTCATACAAAAACTTCTTCATTATTAACAACAACAACACAAACTATATCTGCCGTGAATATTCCTTTAATAAATGGCTTTGGAAGTTTCAAAGTACTTCCATCAAATCCAACTATTGAAACATCATCCGTATCAAATGATCTAATTGAATATAATAAATTATGTTCTACGAATGAAAATTGTGATGGAAACAAATCTTTAATGATATGTCAATCAAATCATTGTATTTGTCCAAAACATTTATTTTGGTCTACACAATTACATAGTTGTATAGTATGTCATGATTTATTAATTGGTAATCGTTGTTTTCGTTTATCAAATCATAAATCAACATGGGATGAAGCAAATGATTATTGTCAAAATGATATTATTGATGATGAACAGGAATATACGATGAAATTAGTATCAAATCTTAATCAAACAGATATTCAATATTTTAAAAAACGTTTTTTACATAGCCCGAATCATGAAGAAATTGATTATATGTATTGGATTGGTGCAACAAGTAATTTTAATGAAAAAAATTTATATCAATATAAATATCGAATTAAACGACAAATACCAACAACTGTATTTCGTTGGTATGATAATCATGAAATAGCACAAATTAATTTTCATAATATTTGGTGTTCACAAAGTGATTATATGCATTTAGCAACAATAAATAATAATGAATTATGTGTTAGTATTACATCATGTGGTTTATATACAGATGATTGTCAAAGAAATTATCGATTTATATGTGAAGCTATTTAATATGCTTTGATTGTCTTTTTTTCTTGTAATCAAGAAAATAAAATAAAGAAAGAAGTTTTTTCTTTTCGTCTCTTTTACCTTCGGGTCCACGTGGAAATATATTTGATAAACGTTGAAGACATATTTGTAATTGAACATCCCATATACGTAATATTTTATCTTTAGAAAAACTTAATAATTGACCACGACTGGGAATGAATTGAACATAAAGTACAGAACGCATATGTCCACGAAGAATCTTGAAAAAAGATATTTTAATTATTGTTATTATTTTTCAAAATGAGATTTTTATTACTCCATTTGGTTTTGATAAAACAAATGGATTCCATAGACTAACTTGATAGTTTACACCTGCAGTTGCTAAAATAAAAATAAGTAAATAAAAATTTAGTCAAATATCAATTGAATAGACTCTTGATGAAATATTAAGAGAGAACCTCTCCAGATGTCAAATCACTTTTCGACTAAGACAACGTACATTTAATAAGTACTAATGAGTAATAGAAAAGTCTAAAATGGTTTAGTTTTTCGAGTCTTTAGCTTTCAGATATCGAAATTTGACTGAGTTTTCAACAAATAGCCGTGATCACGTAAAAAATTGACTTTTGAGTTTCGACTTCAAACTTCGCACAAACAAAGTCCTCAATGAAATTGATTCATTAGACAAATCGTAACTTTTCTAGTATCTCCTATCTTGAGGCATTGAATATTTGAAATTCTCGCATCTGTAAAAGTGAATTTATATTTCCAGAAAGGAAATACTAGAAAAACTAAATATTGCCCAATGAACTAATCTCACTGAGAATTTTGTTCGTGCAAAGTTTGAAGTCGAGAGTCAATTTTCTACGTGACCACCTCAGTACAATTTCGATATCTCAAGAATGAAGGTCTGGAAAAGCAAACCATTCTAGACTTTTCTATTACTCTTTAGCATTCATCAAATGAACATTATCTTCGTCCAAAAGCGATTTGGTACTTTTTGAAAAATTTCATTTTTTAGTAAATTTAATATTCTCCATGATATCTATCTGCCCCAGGCTGAGCAAAATAGCATCGTCTTGTAACTCTTAAGTCAGATTCTAAAGTTTCGATACTTTGCCTGAAAATTATCTCCGTGTTATTGATGATCAAATCAAGGGTTTTCGGGTCACATTGCTAATTGGCTATTTTGATTAATAATGCTTATCGATCAAATCGATTGCTTATCGAATCTAATGTTCTCTAATGAATTGTAAAAACATGAGAAAAATTGGAAATCAATATTTAAGGTCTCGCCTGTGTAATCATGCAAATGTATAAAAATTAAAGCACTAACACTTACATGAAGTCTATCAATCAAGTTTATAACGATATAGAAAAGTCTTTCAAGGGAACATATCCAAGTGCCGAACTCTGTTAGACTACATATTATAGGTTCGAGACCATGAGCTGCTGATGAAGAGTTTATGGTTGCTTTAATGAAATTTTAACTGAGAACAAGACATTTCTAAAAAATTCAAAACAAACAGTTCAACCGGAAATTCCGTCCATAGATCTGATTGATAGTCATTATCCGATTGTTCTGAAAGTTTCAACTGAAACGAACATGTCTTCCTCAAAATATGCAATGAGCAAAAAAGTTCCGATTTATCATAGCAGAACGCAAAAATCAAATCTACTTAGAAATTGAATCTCTCGAGAAAGACATGTTTATTCTCGTTGAAACTTGTTTTTTGAGAAACGCCTCTCTGTCAGTTAAATTCTCATTAAAACGGCCATCAATCTTTATCAATAGGCCATAGTCCCAAATCCTTTTAAGTTTGTCCTACTCTCACAGAAATCTGCTGACAGCTATAATATAAAGCCGAACAGTGTCCAACAGCTGGTTTTATTTCGTCGTTAGAGAAATTCTTATAAAATCAAATCCATCAGATATTTTCATGAGACTAGCACTTCTCGAAACTCATTTCTTTAGAAATAAACACTCGATTTAAAATTTGATAGCCTATACTCTTATCGATTTCTTTCCTAAATAGGTCAAATTAAATTCCAATTTCTGAAGCTTTTCAAGTCTATTGGATTCCGTTCTTTTTGAACATACTAATATTTTATTTTACTTCATATTTAAAACTAAAATTCAATATTTCGATAAAATGATATTTATCATTTCTCTTACCAATCAAATTAAAATTTCGTGAATAATCAAATGAATTAAGTCCTTGACTAATTTCAACCACACTTCTTCAATATAAAATATATAAATTTTATAATCTAATTCTAAAGACATACCTTATTTCACGTAACTGTCGAATACGAACTGAATAATTACTAAAAAAAATTATCAAATATTAAGATTCTATGAAAAAACAACCATCAAAACGAAAAAAATCTCATATTGTTAGACTGATTGTAAACAAAAAATAGAGTCTTTAAGTTAGTGAAAGTGACTATCGATAATCGACAGTGTACAAAATATATCATTTTCTTCTTTTCATTAATATACCTCCGATCACGGCCAAATTCAGAACTAAAATATTTGATGTATTATATCTATTAGTTTTTATGCAAATATTCACAGAAAATTTTCTTCATTTTTCTTAAAAAAATAAAAAAACATATAATATTAACTTACACTCGTACTGTTAATCCTGATTTATCCATCCAACCAAATACTAATGCTGTTTTAGTATTTGTTGAACATGATATGAAACAGTCAAGATGATCAGCATATTTAACTAAAACAAAAGAAAAAAAAATAAAATCTACGTTTTAATTTATCTAAATAAAACCTTGTCGAGTCCATTCAGTATGTGCATTATATGTCAAATAAGATGCATTTTTATAATTTCCATTTGCTATATCTTCTAATTGAACTCTTGTATATGCTTCAAGAAAACAATATTCAATCAATAAAATAAGTATTAAAACAAAAACAAAAACTTACCGGCATTATTTGTTTGTTGTGGCGGCCGTTCAAATAATGCAATTATAGCTGAATTGAATAAAATTGCATGAACATTACCTTTTACATCTCCCCAACTCAATATCGCATCGTTTGGATTTTCTCGATCAGACCTACATGAAAACTTCAAACTAGACACGGATTAAACCCAAACTCTGACTTGGTATTCAGATTCGAGTAGTTCTGAACAATATTGACCCTTTTTTAGGATACTTACAGACCTTCAGTTTTTAAATCATTTATACTACTGTAGCCAAGTCTAAAATCCTTTTTTTGTGGGCTTACTGTCTATTTTAAAGTTAACTATCAAGAAAATAATCTTTTATTTATCTCACCAATAATCCAAACAATAAGACGTAGCATCAATACCAACAATTCGATAAGTTAAACTTAATTCAAGTTTTGATGTCATATCATAAATAACTTTAAAAATAAAATCATAAATCATTCGAATAGAAAAGAAAAAAAAAAGAATTTTTACTTAATTCTTTTGATGTATAAGCAATAGCAACTTTATTAACATTTGCCATGAATACAAAATCAGTTATCCATAAATCACGCATTTTACAACTTTCTGTTGCTGCTTTAAATGTTTTATATAATTGCATTTCATCATTATAAATGCAAACGGTTCCTTCCTATATAATTTCTTTTGTTAATACAATTAATTGTTTTTTTTTACTATTTTTACATACTTTACTAATTGATATATATCGACTAAAACTATCCATATGTTGAATACGTTTAACTGAATCTCGATGAGCACTAAACGAATAAATTACACAAAGAAAAAACAATCAAAATTTTGAATTACTTCAATATACTCTTTCCACTTTTCCAATTCGGTACTGATGATGCTTTTTCACGATCATCATTATCATATAATTTTAACATTAAATATGTCGCTAATTTATCCCTATTAAAAAAAAAAAGTTCTATTTGAAAAACAAAATTTTCAATATAAAAATATATTCTAACCATGAAATAAAACCTTCTTTGGTTACATCAACACATTCGAATAATTCATCATACTGAAGAAAAACAAAAAAATTCATATTCAAATACTTAAAACGAAAAAAAAAATAACCATACATCTTGATCACTTCCACGATTTAATGTATTTCGTAAAAATTCAATAAACTGTTCTTTGTCAAGAACTTTATCTTTCGACTAAATAAATAAGACTTAATACTTTTATTTATTTATTTTTATGTAAATTCTACATACAAATCCATGTAAGCGTAATTTTTCAAGATCTTCTGTTCCTAATAAATTTTCTAGTTCAATTCGTTCTTCTTTTATATCTTCATGGCTAGATAATATTCAAATTTTTAATTAATACATATATTGAACTTTTATTCTATACTTCGACAAAGAACTTATACTCGGTTGATTAAATAATCGTTTAAATTGAGCAGCAGCAGCTGCACCTTTTACACCAGTTAATGAAGCTAACGATAAACGAGGTTTATCACCCATGTTGTTGTTTTCGTTCACCGGTTATAACAACATAATTTTTGTGTTTTTCTCTGAATGACCTTCGCCATTATAAATGTCAATTGTCATGACAAATTCTTTCACTAATTTGTTTTCGATAATAATTTGAAAGAAAATTGAATATTAAAATTTTGAGTTTATTAAACAATAAAATTAAAATTTATTTTTATAAAAAAATAAAAAAATAAATAAAACTATTTTATTTTTTCAAGAGGTCGCTGAATTCAAATAGAGGAAGGAGGCATGATAACCACCAATAACCTCGGATTGGTTTACTTTACACAATAATGTTTATTGTCCTCCTCCTCCTTCGGTTAAGTTCATATTCGATTTATTTTTTGTTTCCATTATCATTCGTTTAAATTATAACATTTTCGATTCTAACTGTAAAACACTGGAAAATTGTATTTTATGGTTGAATAAAGTATTTACAGAATTTACATTCAACAAATGTCGATATATAGAACTTTGGTGTTAGGATAAATATTGGTAAGAGAGTTTTTCTTGAAAAAAAAAATATGTATATATATATAACATTTTTCTTCTATTCTAATGATGATTCTACATGCACCACTCTGATCATAATCAGATATGAGGAAGATTTATTTCCAAAATGAATCTGAAGATAGAAGATATATGATTTTATTTTTTTTGAAAAAAAAAGAAACAGTTCTATGATGAATCCAACGACGGTCTTCAGATGAAGAATGATCGAAAAAAACGAATACTAAACCCATTTCAACTGAGAACTGTTAACAATTTGAATCTCTATAGCACTAGGATAGTCATAAGGATTGTTATTAAACACTAAAAATCTTGTACTTGTAATTGTCTTGCAACGGATAAATCGCTGTTCAGTTGAGACTATGTGCATTATGTAGACATGCATGAGCTATGAGAATCTTAGAAAGAGTTTGTGGCCTTAGCTTATTGCTGCAGACATACTCAGGGATGTGGGCTAAGAGAAAAAGTGCGAGAAAATTTTTTGTGATCTGGAAAGGCATATATACAATGTTTTAAAAGTGATGCGGGGAGGGGGCTGAACTTCGGTTTTTCATTTTGCGATCTTTTTTTAGATAAAAAATACGATTTTGGCAGGAGAAAACTAAAAATTTTCTAAAAATGGAATGTGCACCCCCCTCCCGCATCTCGTGAACGTCACATCCTTGGACATACTGTACTTTTACGTACTTTTTAAATGAGTGCCATGATAACAGCAGTGGCGTATCGAGGGGGGGCCGCTCCCCCCCCCCCCCCTTGGAGAAAAATCCCCTAGGGGGGAGTACGGGTGAAAAAAATTGTATCATAACTTTTATTACAAGTCCACTGCGGCCCCCCCCCCCTTGAAAAATTTCTGCTTACGCCACTGGATAACAGAAAAACTGATTTTCGAATTTTGACTTGGAACTTCTCATAGAGACAGGCCTTAACAAGAGAAGTTTGTTGTGAAAGTTTCAGATCTTTTGATTTGCTTGTATCTTGAAATAAAAAAAAAATCAAATCTACCAGTTTATATGAGTGATATAACACACCTGCTATTACCATAGTTGTATCTTAGGATAGTAATACCAATAAGATCTGAAACAGCACACAAAACTATTCTCGTTAAGATCTGTCTCTAAACAAAGTTTGAAGTCAAATTCGAAAATTAGTTTTTCTGTTACCAGAGCATTCATTTCGAAAATACCGTAAAAGTGAAGTATCTCCCTAGCAGTAAGCTAAGTGTACGAACTCTTTTTCAGAATATTCATAAGTCATTTGGATCCACATAATACACATAGTCTAGACTAGAGTCCATCGGATTGGTCTCGGATCCGTGTCCGAAAATTTTGGTTCTAATGGTCTCTAGTCGTCTGAAAAATGTGTAGGGTATGTTGGTCATTGAATACAAAAAACTGGAAAAACTATCTCGTAGTTTCGGGAAGACTATAGAATTCGGATTGGAAAATTTTGAACCCGACAGGCTCTAGTCTCGATTTAAAAGCGATTTGTCAGTTACAGAACTTTCCCCTTAAGGTTTTATTTTTGCCAAACATCACTAAACTTGTTAGCATTTTGAAACTAGTCGATCAAATAAGTTTCAAAATATAGATTCACTATAAAATCCGATTACTCGATGAAATGACGATCAGATATAATTAATTGAAACTGAATTTGAAAGATTGTATTCATCGAATACATATAGTAGAATTTTTCATACTCCTTTCGCGTATGTCAGATGTGAATAAATGTACAAAAGAAAGCGTTATTTGATCTGAAAAGAAATATTGACATGAATATTTTATTTCTTTTCGTAATTTGTTTTTTCAACTTAACAATCCTTTCCACTTTTAAAAAAATTTTCTAAATATCCTTGTTTATTAATATTATTTACCTAAATCATATATATGCAATAATTTTAGTTCAACAAAGATCGATTCAATAGAAATATTCTCCAATGATCTTTATTTCATTTTAAAATATTCCACTGAGTATATGATTATTATGTATTTGATATTTGGTTGTTAATAAATTAATTCAACAAAGAAAATTATTGATTGACAAGTGAATATATATTGAAAATATGAACGAAATCGACGGAACAAGTATGTATTATCTTTGAACCAAATCACCGTGCTATTAATAAACAATAATAAGTGCTAGATAGCTGACCAACAGGTGTAAAGTTGAGTTCTATCGAAGCTTAGAGTGTCGATGAAACTAAATGCAACAATGGCAGATCCTTATATCTGCTTTAAAAGCCTTGGAAAATCAAACTATTTCCTAATATTACATAGTCTACGAATTATTGATACAATTTGTTTTCTTTGTGTAGATATTAAAAATGTAACACGTATTCGTTATTTGGTTGGAATTGTCTATTGAGTCATCACATGCTATGGGCACAGCAGTTATGGCTTTAATTCAATTTTGTAAGTTTATCCTTTAACAGTTCGATGATGAATCAGACGACGGTCTTCAGACAAAAAGAAAATAAATGATTGATAAAAACGATTACTAAACCCATTTTAAGCTGAGAACTGTTATATATTTATAAGTATTAAAATAAAATTTTGTTTTTTATTTTTCAGTGATGTGTTGCAAACAAATCATATTGATGAAGATGTTATTGGAATTCAAAAGTAAGTTGCTCTATAGAATATTGAATCATATGCTTTTTTTGGCAAACTTCTAAAACCTTTCCCAGTTTTATATTGGAAATAGGTTTCGCTTGTTTGCAAGAATAATAAACCGATTATTACCGGGCGAGCTCAATTTTTGAATGATACTACGCCTAAATATAATTTGTACACTTAATTCTCATGATCTAATTTCGTTATTAAAAGCTAATGTTATATCACCTATACGATGAATTTTCTTAATTGTTCAATCCTTCTTGAGTAGTTTTTGACTCATTCATAGAAACTATCTATTAGCAGTAGTAAAGCATTGAATTGAGACAATTTCCAAATGTTGTATAAAGCCTTCAGTAAGCTACAAATTCGTTAAAAATCAAACTTCTTTTTATCATTCCTTGGTTATGGGTTGAAGAACGGTGTATTTTTTTGTAAGTGAAAAAAAAACTTTAAATTTAATTACATGCATAAGTTGTTTTGATGTTTGTCAGGTTGATAGACATCACTCGAAGGATAGCCGATTGGCAGATTAGTTTTTAAAAATGTCTTGATTAAAAATATATTAACATTAAGTATAATTTTTATATCATTCAAGACAAATGGGTTATATATGACCCATTCTACATTGCCTAAATTTAACCATATTAATGTCCTAATTAGCACATCCATTAGCTATTTTTTGCAGCGGACTTAACACTAACTCTACTGAATTAGTGTCAGGCGATAAAAGTTTAATCTACCATATTAATTTTGACGATTATCTATTAGAACAAAAAGTAACATACATGTTTTTAAATATGCGGCAATATGATATGATACAGTTCTATCCATAAAAAGCCATTAATAAACAATTCAATATGATTATTGTTAAGTACATATAGGATAATAACGTGTAATAAAATAACCTATATAGTTATAGTTAAAAAGTGGATTCCGAAATACTTGAGTCTATAATATATTTCATTTCAAAAAATAAAATTAGTTTTTGTTTTTGTTTTTAATACCTGTACAATTTTATATCAAAAAGAGAAAAGAAAAGATGAGTAAAAAGAAATCTAAAGTTTTATTCAATTTTAACTAATTCAATATTAACTTCTTTTGCTAATGGAAGATCTGTATTATTTGCATATAATAATTGTCCATTTCGTTCAATACTTGCTGATAGAGTTATTCCACCTGGTATTGATTTAATTTGTTCAAATTTCATATGTGCTTTATCTGGGTCATAGAAACATTGATATTTAATTGGCATTTGTTGTCCTTTATTTAAGAGTATATTCGTTGAGCCTAATACAATGCATTCAGCATCATATCGAAGTGTATCACGAACAGACATATCAAGAATTTCATCACCATGAAAATTGGGTTGTTCACCTTTGATTTTAATTTGACCATGAACACTATTTGTTATAAATGTAGCCATTAAAATGTAGCGTAATGAATGAAAGTTATTTGTGTCGTTGTTTTTTTTGTTAAAGAGAAAAATGAGCAACGAACACCAATTATTGAAGAAAGACATAAAATCAGTTCTCGTATTTCAAGGACAAAGAAAGAAAAAAGTTTTTTTTTCCTTGTCTCTCTTTTTTTTAAAAAATAGCAAAACAAATATGTTATAATAATTTTAATATAGACTAATTCAAAATAAAATGTCATTTTCATGACAAAAAATTTATATGCAAACACACTTTGAGTACATTATTAATATTAAAAAATTAAAAAAATTACTTTTTTTTTTCTTTTCGTCTTGAATTTAGTATAAAAGTAGAAGCTTATGATGAAAATTCATTTATGTTTATCATGAGAAAATACACGTGTTAAAGTTGTCGAGATATCGACTATGTAATATCAACAAGCACTGTCAAGAAGTTTTTTTTTCTTTTTTGATATGCAAACTCAATGTTGTTTTTTTTTATTTAGTGATGTGAAGAATATTCAAATGTATGGATTCAAATGCAATAATCATTTATCTCATTATGTATGTTAGATAATTTTTGATGAAATAAAAATTTTTTATTTAATTAAGAAAGTAACAAGACGCAGATATAATAAATCTTAGTGAGGACGTACAGGAGCTCTTTGGGGACGACGTCGGCGAGCTGGTTCCAATGGTGCACTTGAAGATTGTGGAGGAGGATCATGATGCTGAGGAAGCATCATAGGTCTAGCCGCTATAGGAGATTGAGATCGTGGGACATTTGCAGAAGACACATTATTAGAAGGAAACGTAGTGGTCAGTATTTTAGGTAGTGCTATTTTTCCTCTGACAGACGGTGGAGGACCATTACCCCGTCTTTTTGACACTGTGCTAACTGGATTATTAGCGACTGTAGGTGGTGCATGATTAAATCGTATTAATGCTGGTTTGATTCCATGTGAAAGATCATTTTTAGCTAAAGGATCAGCAGGCTTTGACCGCGATTTCTGTGGTTTGTCTGATATGACTGGACGTTGACGACTGGCCATTATTTGTATTTCATTTACTATTACGTTTCAGATACCTTGTCCCTTTTATAGTACAAAAAAAGAGTCAAGGTAAAAAAGATGTGACATAGCATCATGAGTTACGCTTCAATGCTTTCTTACAAGTAATGAAGGTATATTCTAAACATGATTTTTAGTAATAACCTGTACATCCAACGACGGAAAGAATAGTAGACACTTGAAAAAAATAACCCCTAAACACACTCAAGTACATATTTTTTCCCACGTTACCATGTATATCAGATAATAATTTGATGGTTATATATTATATTGCGCAACAATTAAAATGCACGTGAAAATTAGATTTTTATGTTGTTATTTTTACTAATATGTTTAAATAAGAGGGAAATTTTCTATTTCATATTTGTTACTTGACATTTATTTTATTAATTTCGACATCAGTAAATGAATGTGTTTTTTTTGCGTTATTAAAAACGTGAATAATGTTTTTAATGATTATGACTTTAATCTATTAAGAATCTCTTTCAAGATTTTATACATCTTGATATATTTTTCTCCTATGTTTTTCAATTCAATGATAATTCATATCAAAATATTAATTCATTTATCATCGAAATAAAACGTAATTTCACAATTCTATTTCAATAATTCAATTCTTGTTGCTTTTTTTTTCGTCTATAGTGACTAAAACTTAATGTAATTGGGTTTCATGTTGTGAATTTTTTTTTAAACTGCAAACAAACTAACAAATAGAAATTTTTTTAAATACTCTTCAACTACTTTCACGATAAGTAAAAGAAAATAAAAGTAATGCAAACAAAAACTTCGCATGATGAAATTTTTTTATTTATTGTCTTGAGATATTCAATGATATATCGACAAGATTAGAGTCGCTGACGAAGTTTATTACATTATACTTTTCTTTCTATTCATGGATGATTGACAGTTAATCGATTAACATTAATTTATACAATGTAAGATGGTTTTTTTTAACTTTAGAAAACAACATTTGCTATTAATTATTAAGTAAATTTTCAAATAAATTAAAAAGAAGAATTATTTATTCTCGGTTCACTGATAGATAGGAAAATCTTTGCTTAAATAAATCACTTGATCATAGAATCTTATTTGCATTATTTCTAAAATCTTATCTCTAGTTTACTTCCATAACTTATTTCATTCAACGTGCTTGTATTATCTTCATTTTTTATTATAGGACAAAATAAAAAGAGAATTTTAATCCATGGTGTAAAAGTCTTGGCACAAGATATTCATTCACTTTTTGCCTACCTAAAGACAATTAGTTAAAGTTAGTTAGAATCAAACTTTTTCGCTCTTTTCGAATATGTGCTCACAATTTCCTTCTGGAGTAAGATTGAACAACTATCATTAGATTATTTCAAAAGGTCCCAAATAGTGATTGTATAGAATACTATTTTGGTCAATTTTACATTTCAATTGAAACCTATTGCTAATAACTCTCGCATTATTCTCTGTGTGGGCATATCATGCCTTTGATTCGAACCAAAAATTAAGAAGAGAAAAAAAACACAAAGAAATCCCATCTTATGTATATACGTATATCTTCGATAACATTCCCTCTCCCTTGCATACAGTGATGTACCAATGATGTTTGTTTTCTCCAACAGGTATGACTTGAAAGAAGAGAAAGGTGAAAAGAGAAAAAAGAAGAAAAAATGCAATACATAGTATAAGCGTAAACAAGACATGATAATACATACGAGTGTATAAGAAACAACAAACGATCTAACTAAAGATGTGTCATAATCGATGATTTATAATATCTATCAAATTCAAAATAGTTTTTAATAGCTCTGTTTTGTTAGCTCTTCAAAGCGTACTATTTACTTTTGTAAGATAGATTTTAATTCTTTGATATTTTTAAATGCAGCTTTTTAACAACGATGATTTCTATTGAAATTAATTCTTCAGTGGAAACATATAGATGAAATTTCACCTATTGTAATATTTCATTTTGTACAAAATTCAGTGCTATAGAATAATGTTTGAATTGAAGCTGTTCTAAAACATACTAAGAACTACGTGAAAACTGTTATTTTGCTTTATACAGACTCAATTTTGAACTTTTTCAGAAAAACTTATTAATAGTTATTCAATCTTATCCCAGAAGAAAAATCTAAACATACAGTGACAAACAAAATTATTCAATAAGATTTTTTTTTGTTGTTGGCATAAGTCTTAGAAAGAATTCGAATAGAGAAAATGGTTTCCAATAAGCCTATAACAAAATAAAAATTATCATCAAATTCGTAAAGATAGAAACTCCAGAAAACCGAAATCCTAGTTTTCAACATGTAGAGTACATAAAAATAATTTTGTTTAGACTACATAGAACGATAAAGTAAACCATCCTCTACAAAACGAGACATAACCGAGTTGTCTGAGATGTTTTTTAGTTGAAATAGAGCAATTCGATGGAAGGTCAACAAAATGCTTGTCTGTAGGAAATTGGAAAAAGCCAACTTTTGGGGGTTTCATTAAGATTGCTGTACCTTAGCTAGACAACGTTGCAGAAAACTCGGAGATATTTCATTTTGTAGAGAATTGTTTGCTCTATCATCCTATATAGTCTCAACAAAATTATATTTACCCATTCTAGATGCTGAAAAGTTAGCTTTTTGGTTTTCTGAAATTCGTGTCTTTGTGAATCTGATAATTATTTTTATTTCCTTATATTCTATCTGAAAACAATTGAAAATATAGAAAAAGTCTAATTCTAACCAATTATTTTTTAGTGGTCGAAAAATTAGCGAATATTTTGTGCTAAGACTTTCGTGTCGTAGGTTAGGTTCTATTAATATATTTTATTGTTGAATAAATGATATATTCTTTTGATTGAAATAAGTATAATAGATTTAAATTTTTTTTATTTCAGATAGAAAAAAAAGCAACAACAACAACAACAACAAATGAATCAATATTTTACAAAACCAATCGATGAAGGAATGTATGCAGATGAAACCGGTGGAAATTGTGATGATTATGATGATGATATGGGCGTTGGCAGTGGTGAAGCAATGATGCGTATTGATTCTTCATCAGCTACTGGTTATATGTCGCATCATTTATCATTAATGGCAACAGAAAAAATAGTTCATGGAGATTTTTTTAATGATTTTGGTGATCTTTTCGATACAGACAGTTTTGCTCTTAATGCTACAACAACAGGACATGTAACAGCTTGAAGTATTTATATATATATATATGTTTTTTTTTTGTGTATTTGTTTATAAAGAGAAAAAAAAATAAAATACATGGTTTTAAACGACAAAAGATAACATTAGTGAATATTTTATGAATGAATAAAGCTTATTTTAAAAATGATTTGATGATTTAAAAAAAAATATTATTATTAGACTATAATCGAAGTTCAGTTGTTTGCGTCGATATTTCTGAATGAATAACGATAATAAAAAAAAATATTCATTTAATATATTGATCGTATAATCATCCAGAGAAACAGTAATTCATGTTATAGTTGTCAAATAGAATATAAAAACAAGTCTTTTCGATCAACTTGAAAACAAATGTCTTTTTGACAAATATTGTTGTACTAATAGTTTATTTTTTTTTTGTAGAAAAGCAAATACATGAAGAATCTTATCTGATGAGTTGATGTTTTTTTTTAATTTAAGTCCCTTGAAATAATCGATATTATGTACTCGACAATAATAGAAACAGATTGTTCGTTTCTCATACACAATCTATTTAAAGAACTGTCGTTTGATTGTCTATTATGAAGAAAAACAATGTATAAGATATTTGCTCTCTTACTGCTTATTCTTGTTGGTAGTGTGGTCGCTGATGTACACAAATTTAAAATTCGATCAAGTCATATTAAACGTGTCAGTGCATCATTAAATCATGGAACTAACAGTCTTGATTGGTGTCCACAATGTATTAGTACTTTTGATGATTTAATTGAAGTTACTCTTGATATTATTCTTCAATTTGGCATTATGGATACATGTGGTCATTTATGTGATCTTGTCATTGAAAAGACTGGCTCAGAACTTCTTGGATTGATTTGTACAATGGGTTGTGATTTTTTAGGCCTTGAAGAATTTGCTAAATTAGTGCAAAGTGCCGATATTGATCCAATCTATTATTGTGAAACAATCAAACTTTGTCCAAGTAAATTAAATAATTTATATTGAGAGTAAAAAATATCTTTTACTTTATAGTCAATGATAATGGTGATGCTAAATTTAAATCATTTGCTATTCTTCCACCACGTGCTCAAACTGGTAGTACAATTGATGTTAACATGGTTTTTGTAACAAAAAATGGAACTGGTACTGGTGAAATGATTATTATGATTCAAACAGTCGATAAAATTCCACTTGCTTCTGGTTTCTTACTCGAAGCTAAACAACCTGGTACTTATGGTGAACGTATTACTATTGATACTACTGCTGATCCAGATTGTGATCCTACTGAAAGTAAAAAATTTTGTTTTTTTTCCTCTGAATATATTTAAATCAATAATACCATTGAAAAACTTCTTTTTTTTATAGAACAATGTGAACTGTGGTTAGAAGGTACTTATAATGTTACGGTTATGCTTTGTAATGGACAATGTGGTTCACATCATCCTCACACAGCTGTTTATGATATAGGTCGAGGTTCATTTACGCTCTATGAAGAGTAATTATGTGTATTTACTTGTTTTAAAAATAAATTGTGCAAAATTATTCACAAAATTATTTTGCTCTGTAAATATTGAGGAAAATTGAAGGATTTTGTTTCTTAACCACAAGATTAGCTGGTTACCTATATGACATTGAAAAAAGTTATCAATATATTTTTAAGAATACTTTATTTCAGAAAAAAATCATTCTGTACGTTGATAATTAGACAGAACTGTGTCAATAAATATATTTGAATGATCTACTATTTTCATACATATATGATCGTCTATATAAAAAGAAAATTAGCTTTGTATTATTATGAGATCTTTGAAAGAGAGATAGTTGAATAATTTTTGTTTTACATCAATCAGAAGTTTATTTTGATGATGATGTTTTGCATGAAGAAGTTTTTTTCAATTGATTGTATATCAACACATTACCTATGTTTTTATCTTTGAATTCATTTCGAACTTTGCTCATATTTGTATGACATCATATGTCTTCTATCATTCATTCAAATTAAGAGAGATTTAATGGATCTATACATTGTTGTATTATTATTCTGCATAAATATTTAATGTTCGTTTAGTACCTAAAACGTATTGTTATAGACAATAGTCATACTCATTCAAACATGTGTTGTTTTATTTTCTCTCAGCAGAGAAAATATCAAATAGATTAATGACACATCAATATCTTAGTTTTACAATGAAAACTTTCAATGAATATTTCATCACACAATACATTATTCAATTCTTCCTACTAACGAGAAAACCTACTTAAGTCTAAGTCTCCGTTTTCCACCGACAGCATACCAGTTTCTAGAGCTAAATTCTCAACATTCAAAAGTTTAACACTAAATGCGTCTTAATTGACTGTACACATCCACATAATCGACATAAATAGAAGTTCCAACTACGTCTATACTTTGAACATTTCAATACCATTAATATTGACGATGTACAGAATTCAATCACATTTTTAAAATTCATCTAATTTCAACTTTATGTTCGTCTATTTATGATATGTATATTAAAAATACATGCTGATCATATTTTAATAAGCTGCCCTATCTAATGTACTTTAGTACATCGACATATGAGAAAAGAATAAAATAGAATGCAGACTATTGAAAATAAGATATCTGGTAAAGCCTTAACTATTACGCCTTTAAAATAGTTCAATTCTGTACGTCCATTACATTAACAATACGGAAATATTCACAATATGTACGTAACTAGAACTTCTATTTATGTTGATTTTGTGGATGTGTACAGTCAATTAAGATGCGTCTAGTGTTAAACTTTTGAATGCTGAGAGCTAAAATAACATAAAAATTAAAATTGTTGAAATAACAGCTTACAGTCATTTTTCTGTCATTGAAATCGACCTTACTTTTTAAAGACAATCTTTGGGAAAGAAAACATTATGCTATTGTGATCAGGTCATTTAGTTCTAGAAACTGATATGAAGCCAGTTGAAAATAGAGGCTCACAATTAGGAATGGTTTCTTCTAAGACGGTTTGTGTTTTGTTTACGAATAGTTTTTATATCTCTGAGATACTAAAGCATATGACGAGTGTGATAAGGCATTCATAAACGTCCACTAAATAGTCGTTTGAAAAAGTACTTTATTTTGTTTCGCTTTTCGTTTTTTATTAGAAGCGATAAACAAAATCATAAAATATATTTTTTGTCTTAAACAACATTCATGATGTTATTCGCTATTATGGAATAGAATTTATATTGTACAATTGTTTTTTTTTATTCTCGAATAGTGTACATCTTATTTTTCCATGCAATGTATGGGAATATTTGAATTCTGAATGATTTCCTTCTATCCTATAAATTTGAAGAAATAAAAAAAAAATCTGTTTTTAATTCTCTTATCATTTCTACTATTCCAACTATTCATAACAGCTTTGAGTATAAAAATTGAAATACATATAGATGTCTCTTTTGTCACATACAGATTTTTATCTATTGAAATAGCTTTAGTTGATGTATTTTAATTGCATATATTACTTAATAATTATACGTTTGAATCTTTTAATCACTTGAACTGAACTATTTTCTTTTGCTCGCTAAATAATGATGATATGAGCGCTTAGAATTAAAAATAGACTAAAACAGTGTTGCTGGAAACTTTAACTATTTTTGTAAATTTAATTTTAATAACGTTTGACGTTAGTCAAACAGAAAATACATAATGATAACTTGTTCGTACTTGATATATTTTTATGAATTCAAAAGAAAAATGATAAAGTTTTCTCTATTATTCAAACACCATCGAATAGTATGGACGTTTCTCACAAAGAATGTACATTTATGACGCGCGAGATCTTGCATGATTGTCTTCAGTTTCGTAAGAAAAGTAATGACAAGCAATGTAGAAGGTTTTTACTCTGATTATAATTGTTATAGTTTGAACTGCATATACCTCACGTTCATACAGTATTCATTTTCAAAAAACAAAATTTCCACGTCCTTAGTCCGAATCTCAAGCATAATAAAGTCAATATGGATATCTGTTCTATGTGTATCAATGAAGTGGTAGAATTAATTAATATTCTTGACCAGAGAATTTTAGGATCTTACCGTTTCTTTTATGGAGCTGTTGTAAATCAAACTGGCTTAAAATTCTTGACGGTCTCTATTGATGTAGAATATGATGTCATTGGTATTGAGGAATCGATCAAATTGATCATCAAAGCTAAGATGGATCCTATCTATTATTATCAACTTGCTGATATGTTTTCAAATAAGAAAAACTGATTCAATAATTATATTATGTACATTTTGAAATATTATCTATATACTTAATGATCATGGAGATGCTAAATTTATAAATTTTGATGTTCTAGCAAAGATTGACACTCAAGGAATAACATTTATATTTGATATTTCTGGTTTCTTATGACTTTAAATGGTATTTATATGAGAACATTTATTTTTAATATTATTAATCCTAAAAATCAATCATTCGATAACTTGTATTGATTTGAAGCAAAAAAAATACCTGGCACATATTGTGAAAAAAGTTCTTATCAAAACTTTTGCAAATTGTGACCCTTCAAAAGGTAAGAATAGATAAATTCTCTTACAATAAATTTTCTTATATCAAGGGATTGTTTCACAGAAGTTAGTGATGCCTGACTAATCGGTACTGACAATGTTACTGCACAAATTTGTAATCGGTAATGCAGTTCGCATCATCCTTATACAGTTGTTCGTGATACTGCAGTAATCTCTTTTGTTGTTACAAAATAGAAAAAACAATAAATTCATCATCATATTTTTCTATTATAATATCTTCTATATAACATTTCATTTATTCATATATAATTTTTTTGTTTATTAATGTCTTTAAATTCAAAAAAATTATAAAATCTGATAGCTCATTTTTATTCTAGAAGTGCTTCAGATGAACTTATTCTACTGACATTCAAACTAATCACAATGCCAAAAGTAAAAATGAAAGTTATTAACATATCAATTCATATCTTAAATCTATAAATTTGCAGATCTTGTTCTGTTCTAAATAATAAAAAATTAGTTTGAAAGTTTGCAATACAAGAATTTCATTGTGCCAAAAGAAATACTAAACCTAAACATCTACCTCGATTCGTTTGGTAATATACTAAAATTGTTAATACAGTTGACTATGCAAACGTCAAAAGGAAAAATATCAAAGTGGAAAATTATTGGAAAGTGTTTTAGAAAATTTTACGTACTCAAACACATTTTTTATTGTATGAGATACTACTAACATTCTAACAAAGATTATACACAAGTCAAGAGAAAAAAAAATTTCACGAAATTCACGTACTTCTATTTTTTCGTTTATCATTAGGATGACCGTGATCGTCAATCATTTTAATCAATTGATCATTAAAATTTGTAGGAACTTTTACTGAATATCCATTAAGTGTAGCGTGTGGGTGTTGGCATGTGAATATATGGATCTCTCTAATCATACCCACTGACATCCACACCCACATCTTTGACTAATAAAATCAAACTTTATTATGCATTCTGCACAGTATACCATGTAACTCAGCTACCAAAATTTATCTAGGTTTTATGTTCTCTAAAAGATAAGATTATAGAGTGTTTTCATGGAAAATACTTCATTCATTTGCTCATATGTTTAACCGATCTATATGAAAAATTAAGCTGTTTCAATTCTCTATCGAAGGGTGTATGAACATATGAGAAACAATTCTTCCTTGCCTTTCTTTGTATAACGATATCGTTCATGTTGCATAACCCTAATGGACTCTCATGATAAAAATCACCTAGTGCTCTTCTCCAATGGTGACAGTCTACTTCGAATTTCATATCAATCGATAGGTCTAGACGAGACCTACCAAATAATGTTATGAAACTCGCGAAAAAGAAGCGAGAGTATGTCTCTTTTTCGGTATACTCAAAATAATTCTATGTTGAATAAGGCTATGTATATGTTTAAACGATGGTATTGGGATTTTTGTTGCCTCGAACGCATAGATCTACTCTGTATTGTATGCCAACGGTGGATGTGAATTGAGGAAGAGAATATCCCCACTTAAATCACAAAAAAAGGTAAACTTTGTACACATCAATATATATCCGAAAGACATTCTTTGTTCAAAAATAAATCAACAGTTTTTCGTTTTCAATTACACAATATACAGAACATAAAAGTGCGATATGAGGTGCTCGTTGCAATCCATTCTCAAAACGTGATTCGAATCTACCCTACGGTATATCTGTTAGTTTTTTCTGAAAAACCCATTAATTACCATTTTTCCAGTTTAAATTGAATTATTAGTACTCACTCTTGAAGTACAAGACGGCAAAATCCTAAAATCCAGTCGCGTCCAGTCGATTTGATCACAATCAAACGACTTCAAGATAGTTCAATCACGATCATTGATCGATCTCTCAATATGTTCTTGGCTAAAGGTTAATCGAGAAATAATCTAGAAAAAAGATATACGAAGATGCATAAGTTCAGTATGTTTCGTCGACTTGGTTATATATCAGTGCATGCATAAAACAAAACGATGAATTAATGATTAGCCAATAGATCACGGCACATTTTTTATTTTAATGTGTTGGCTGATGAGGGAACATATTTAGGTGTTCAAGCTGTTTAGGCCCCATCTTTCGGCTATAAATAGACCTCGATGAGGTATGAAAAACCTGAAGAAGATCCATTCCCTCGCGCCTTTGTTCCTGAGATATGCCTGTTTTACTGAATGTTCGGTCAAAGACCCGGTATTTCAGAAAAAATCAGATGAATGAATTTTGATCTAAAATTTCGTCTATAAATAGGTCTAATGATTCGTAGAATATTCCTAACATTTTAGTCAAAATGGATGCTTCAATAGGGAGCTACTAGAATTTCAATGAACACCCATATTTTGAGAGGATATTCTAAAGTCGAGATTTTTTAAAAACAGTATATCTCGCCTAGGAAGTATCCATTTGTACTGAAACGTTAGGAATATTCTACGAATCATTAGACGAATTTCTAGTGACTCGCCGTTCTCTAGAACATTGCGATACAAAGTACGGATTTTATTACAGCAAAAAACACACAATGTATAGAGCCCGAATGCGCACGCTATCGACTACATGCATGTTGTGCTTAGCAGAACACAAATTTAATGTAAACTAATTAAAATACTGGTTGAATCGAATGAATTTCTTATTCAAAAGTTAAAATTCAATTCGATAATATTGAATATTCTTTAACAATCAAGACTAACGTCATTCTCTTCAATATTCATTTTGTCAAATCAGTGAATTTGTTCTAGCAATGCACTTTTAATAATTGGCAAAAAACGAACTAAAAATGCGAAGGTCAAACAATACAATAAATTAAAATTAAATCAAGGTCAGAATCCAACAAAAAAAAAACAACGTTGTGTGAAAATTTCACCATTTGCACTATTTGAATAAAAAGAGTACATTGTTTGGATCATTTCAAACAGGTTGTTCGTTTCTCATAAAAAAACTATATTTATGTGATTTGCATCTGCTATTGATTGTCTTTACTAAAGTGAAAAAAAAAACAATGTATAAAGCTCTGATATTGGTTATCTTAGTTATTATTGGAATAGCTTCTGCTTCTCGATCGATTAATACTACGCCAAAAAAACTTCGACCACTAAGTCCAAGGTCTAGTCCAACAAAAGCGAACGCTGATCTTTGTCCAACATGCATTGAAGAGGCTGTAGAAATCATTAATATTTTGCTTAACTTGGTTCTTGATGAAGGAATTATTCAGTCCTGCGATATTTTGTGTGGAGCTCTTGCCAATAAAACTGGTTCGAAAATTGTTGGTGATCTCTGTGATGTTGCATGTGACGCATTTGGTATTGATGAGTTTGTTAAATTAATCATTAAAGCTGATATTAATCCTATTTGGTATTGTGAACTAGCTAAGCTTTGCCCAGGTAAGAGACAAAGAATTTATTTTATTATTTTTCGAAAATTTATAAAAATTTTTTTTAGTTAATGACCATGGTGATGCTAAATTTACAAATTTTGGTATTGCACCTAAAAGTGCTCCTGATGGTTCTAAATTTATATTTGATTGTTCTTTTGTTAGTATTAATGGTACGGGTACAGGTACGATTGTTATTGACATGGTTGATCCTAAAAATCGAACAATCTCTAATCTTTACTGGTTCGAAGCAAGAAAACCTGGAACATATCCAGAGAAAATTGGTCTTCAGACTTTAGTTGAATTTAATTGTGATCCTATAACAGGTAAGAGAAGATTTATTTGTTTTTGAAAATTGATAATTTTATTATTTCGAATTCTATTAATAGGTGTTTGTGATGGTTGGCCAATAGGTACTTATAATGTTACTGCACAAGTATGCAATGGAGTATGTGGTTCAATTCATCCACATACGTCTATTTATGATACAGCTAAAGGCTCATTTGAACTTACAAAGAAAAAAGTCTTCTTTTAAAGAATTGATGTAATATTGGTTTTTTTTAATGCAAAAGTAATCATAGAAAATAAAAAGTATAAAACTGCCATTATAATTCAATAGAGTTTATTTTGCAATAAAACATTTACTGACGAGAAAAATCTCCAACTGATTAATCGTTTTTGAATTGAAAGCATGCGGATCACGTAGACTGTAATGAGTTATTAATATCTCGAAAAGAGTTCGTGCTCTTAGGTTATTGCTGCGAAGATACTGCACGTTTGCAGTATGTTTCAATATAATGGAGTGAGTTCTCTCAAGAATACCAAGAAAACTGATTTTCGAATTCTTTGTATAGAAACAAGCCTTGATAAGAATAATTGATTGTGAAAGTTTCAAATATTTTCGTTATTCCTATCTCAAGGTAAAACCATAGTAAAAGTGCATTCCGTATACACCCGCAAATTCAATGTTCTTATTTCAAGATAAGAACAGATCAAATAGTTTGATACTTTCACGGTTAACTATGCTTGTTAAGGCTTGTTCCTATGCAAAAAATTTGAAAATCAGTTTTCCTAGTGTTCTTGAGAGGAGTCATAGCATTGTATTGCTAAAATACTATACAAACGCAATATGTCGCCAATAATAAGCTATAGACTCGAACTCTTTTCGAAGTAATTCATAAATCATTATTTTTTACATGACGTACATGCTTTCGACTCAAAAGTGATTAGTCACTTGAGGGACTACCTTCATCAGTAGACTTGAAATAAACTCACTCTGAAGATCTTCGTAATATGCAATCATTAACAATTTTCATTTCGAAAGCAATTGGCAAACATTCAATCAATTTTTAATAGTCATATTCATTTTGTTCTGATATTAAAAATCATAATTGAATGACAAGTTAATGACAAATGCAACAGATTTCTTCATTATAAATATGTTTGTTGCTATGCTATTGTTGGGTTAAAATACTTGATGCTGAAACTTGATTCATTGAATGAATTGTGTTGTTTAGATCATTAACAATTCTTAATCAATTGAATTTAATTTTAATAAATGTTACATTTAATTTCAATTAATTGAATGTATGCTAGTTCATTAAAGGTTGCCTGGCGAGTAAACTCTTTCAACTTGAGATCCGTTTTCAATTTCGGACTCTGTATATATGATGAAGCCTAATGAGATATCAAAATCCTCAAACAGATAAGGCCTTCCTTACAAAGATATAACTGTTTTACAGAAATTTTAGCCAATTGGACGGTATGTACAAAAGAAAGAGTCAAGTGACGATATTTTGACCTAGAATTTTGTCTCTAACGAGATCTAGTTGTGACTAGAACGTCCTAAAAATGTCAGCTTCAAAGAATATCTCATTCACGAGATATTGAATTCCTAAAAACGTGAAATTCTCGAATCTCTCGTAGTATATGAGTAATTTTTGGGAATTCAATAGTTCATGAAGGAAACATTCTTTTGAGCTGAAACTTTCAGAACATTCTAGCTACAATTAGGTCTATTTATAGACAAAAGTTCAGATCAAAATATCGTCATTCAATGCTTTTTGTACATAATGTGTTATAGGCTAAAATTTCAGCAAAATAACTATAACTTTGTTGGGAAGGATTTATCCTTTTCAGATTTTCAATATATCATTCAAGTCTACTCTATACACAGAGTTCGACCTGAAAGACGATTTTCAAGTTGGTAAGGTTCCCTCATGAAAATATATGTTGTATGTTGAATCAAGAAGAAAGAAATTACGTTATTATGTTTTATCCATTTATATTATTATTTCTGTGCTATATTAAATCTTTTTAATTTCATATATCACTGTGATTATCAAACGACATAATTAATATCTTTATTGATACAATCATTGAATTATTTTTTCTCTATGAAAATATTGATCAGTCCTCTTCTATTGTTTTTCCTCTCATATAAAGATACACACCGAAGTATATATGTTCATTAACATTGTCGAAAAAAGTCAACTAAAGCTTGAATGAAAAATTATTATGTCCTTTTAATATGAACAAAATATTTCTTGATCGAATTATTTTACTTCACATATCATGAAATAAGTCACTTAAACTCTCTTCATTATGAAGCAGGCTTATTTCAGTTATTGATAACATCTAACATAAAAAAAAGAACAATATCAAAACTGATGAAAAGAATCAGAGCTATCACCTCTTCTGCTTTTTGAAGTTTTTTCTGTTGTTTCTGCTTGTTCAAGATTTTTCTGCCTTGTTTGATATGGCGTTATTTATTATTTCAATCAACATTTTTCACCTGAAATACCTTCGTTTCCATAATTATTAAAAAAACCGTATCAAAAACTACTGATATTTTTGTGCCATTCTAATTTTTTTTATTTGATACAGATAATTTTTATTTTCTACTGACTACAAACAACTATCAACCTATATATTTGGTTTTAAATCAATTCTTTACCTATAGTTTTCTCTCGTGTTTTGATTACTCATGTAATTCATATACACCAACATATACATTCTTTCGTTTGTCTACTCAATGAACATGAATAATGAATATGATTAGTGAGAGGAAAGGAACAGAAAAAGCAGCCCAAGATGATAATGACAACTCGACTAGCGAAGAAGATATTCACAAAGCAGTGGTAGTTGCTGAAGTAATAATTATGTCATCAGGAGTTAAACTAGAAAACAGAAATTGAATAGAGTTATTTTCAACAAAGAATGGTTCAAAGTCGTCGAATATTAATGATCTTTAAAAGAATATAAATTTTGATCTGTCTCAACTAACATTTATTGTTCGTCATCAACAGTTTTCCGAACATTCCTAATAAAAAGCTAATACTGATAATCCTATGAATAATAAGAAACAAAGAAATTTTAAATGCTATGATTTAATCAACAATTATTTTGAATTTTTCCTTACCATATACTGTAATAGATAAATATTTATTAGGTAAAAAAAGATTTATCAACAGCTCTTAAATCAGATGAAGAATACTCCTTAAAACGAAAACGTCTTCAATGATTCTGTCTATTTATTAATTAGTTTTGTTTTGTGATACCATACAATACGAGTGATTAGTATACTGAAACTAAAATTTAAATGTAACTGGTAGCTCGTAATAAAAGAGAGTCTCAATATTTTGTTAACATCTTAAGCGTTATCTTATCGCTCACGTTTTATTTTTTTTATGAAAAGATTTATCGTTTGATTCCGCACAAATTGGTACATTTTGCTGTAAAAAACACTTATCTCTCTTTCTACGTCATTATGACTTAAAACAAGCATTACACATAACTTTCAAAGTCTTAATTTTTTTCAAGTTTTTTCCAAAATGTCTAGTTTCTCAATTAATCTTGTTACTTTGAGTATAATTTGTTCGCCACTCAGGAGATAAATTGGTTCATTTCAATCAACGTACCAAAAGCAATTTATTTTATTTCTGGACAAAGAATATGGCACGACCAATGATAATAAGACTAATCTCAGGACTGGATGTTTTCGGAAAAAAATGAAAAAAATTTAGATTTTGAAAGTAATTTGTAATGCTTGTTTTAAGTCATAATGACGTTAAAAGAAAGATAAGTATTTTTTACAGCAAAATGTACCAATTTGTGCAGAATCAAACGGTGAATCTTTTGATAAAAAAATAAAACGTGAGCGATAAGATAACGCTTAAGATGTTAACAAAATATTAAGACCCTCTTTTATTACGAGCTACCCGTAAGTTTCATATCATAAATAGACTTTGTGCTGTCTTTCTGCTTTTCGATGATAAAACTTCTGTTATCTTATGCTTTTTGCGAAGTATTTAATGCGATGCGAAGCACAACATTTATGTAGTCCTGCGCGAGTTTACTTTTTTTTTTCTTTTTTCTTTTTAATGCAGTGCGAAGCACAGCATTCATGTGATCCTTCGCGAGTTTACTTTTTACGGTGCGAAGCACTGTATAGCAATCGTTCGAGGTATTTTAATGCCCTGCAAAGCAGAGGCATTTATGTAATGGTTCGCGAGTTTACTTCCTTTTTTTCGTTCTTACTTGAGGTACGCATCCTAAGTCATCATTTTGTGATCCGATGATTTCGAGAACGGATAGTGATAAAAGGATCGTTTAAAAGCGAGTCGAAAATACTAAGGTCGAAATAGTACCTTTTTTTTGCCTGATTTATCATAAGAGTTTTCGTTCTTTCATAAATCATGTCTGAAAAAGACGATTTTGAAAGAAGTTATCTTTGAGATAATTAAACCAGTAAAAGTTACGCGCCAATCTTTTTCCTGAATACAGGACAGTTGTGAAGACAGCTGATTATAGATAATGAATCATCTAGATAATTAATCGATCAATCAATATGATTCTTCGAAAGGAAGTTTCCAGGGTTCAGTAGAGTTTTCGAAGTGATGAGTTTAGGCATGTCTGATATTTAAAGAGATATCGTTTTTCTGATTTCTCGAAATTTCGGCTTCGCAGAACATTTCGTATTCGAGTCGAAACTAGAATACCATCTAGTTAACTTACTTTACGTACGCATCTCATGTAGTCATTTTTTGTCGCGATGATCTCGAGAGTCGAAACTCGTAAAATAGTCGTTGAAATGTGACATTCAAGTATCGAAATCGAACTGATACCTTTTTTTGAGTTCTTCTTCAGAGCATGTTTGGTTTCCTCAAAAATAGATTCCGAAAATGACAAATTTTTCAGGACTTTACGTGTTTTTCATTTTGAGATAATGAAAACGAAAATGTAGAGAAAAGTTAAGAGCCATTGTCTTTCTTCATATGTTAAACAGCTGTAGTCACAGCTGATTGTAGATAATGAATTATATAGATAATTAAATAATCAATCGAAATCGTCCTTTAGATAAGTGTTCATAGGCTTTCATAGAGTTCACATGGTGATGAATTTTATTATGATACTTTCGCATTTTCTCACGACGTATATCAGCTGACTCGTGAAAAAAAAAAATTTCGAATTCGAATGATGCAGAGTAGTTTCCACTTTTTGAACTTCAAAAGGTAGCAGCACTGAAAAGTATAGATGAATATCAATGAGTAGTAATTAATTAAAGAAAAACCTAATAATTCTTCTTAATTTAACCTAAAAATTTGAGCTTATTCTCGATGCCATAGTTGAAATAGTACCGATAATATAAAAACAAAGTGTATTTTTAGATTTTTAAATCGCGTCATCAATTTTCAACAAGTTTAACTAGTAATATTTTTTTTAACGCAAAAGATAAGGATAGAAAAATGAACAAAATTGCGTCAAATGACGCATTAATTTTGCGAGAATCTTATAGAAGAAAAAAAACACTATATAAAACTCTGACCATTTGTGTAATATCGATATAAATCCTGTGTGCATTTGTACATCTGAAACAGCTGAGTATTTTTCCATCATACGAATATTTATTCGCGTCATGTTTTTTGTATTTATAGACTTTCGTTTATTGTAGATATTATTGTTACAAACCATGTACAAGAGTCTTACTTTCATTCTTATTGTAATTATTGGCATTGCTAATGCTCGTGGCTTTAGTAACATTAAAGCAGAAAATATTCGACATATTAAATCATTTTCTTCACAAAAAAATGTAGGTCTTGATCTGTGTCCAACATGTATCAATGTTGCTGATGAATCAATTAATATTTTGCTCAATTTAATTTTGGACACTGGTATTATTGGTACATGTGGTACATTATGTCAAGCTTTGGCTGAAAAAACTGGATCACAAATCCTTGGTACAGTCTGTGATATAGTTTGTGATGTTGTTGGCATTGATGAATTCATCAAATTAATCGAAAAAGCTGATCTTGATCCAATATGGTACTGTGAAATTGCTAAATTATGTCCAGGTAAGGATATTTTTTCTTTATGCTGATTAAAGAAAAATAATTGAAATATTTATCTGTATAGTTAATGATCATGGTGATGCTAAAATTACCAAATTTACAATCTTACCACCAACTGGTCGTCAAGGACAAACATTTACTATTGACTTCACTTTTGTATCAGTCAATGGAACTGGTACTGGTGAACTTACAATTGATATTCGTACTCCTGATCATATTCCACTTGGTACTGGTTTCTTATTACAAGCTCAGAAACCTGGTACATACAATGAACGAATTACTGTCAAAGCTGAACCTGATCCACAATGTGATCCTACACAACGTAAGATTTTTAAAATTATCTTCAAAATAGTTTTAATAAAAATATTTATCTTCGATTTTCTTCAATAGAACCATGTGAACAATGGTTACCAGGAGTTTATAATGTAACAGTTCAAATTTGCAATGGTGAATGTGGCTCAAAACATCCACACTCAGCCATCTATGATACAGGCCGAGGTACATTTCAACTTACTGGATAAATGCTTATGATGGTTTTTTCTATTTGTTTGCAAAAAAATTCAACAATATATTTATTGCATACATTTTTTTTTTATTATTATTAAAATAAACTTATTTCATATTACTTATACTATTGGTGTGTAAGATATACTGAAAGTATTTGTCAAGAAATGACTGGAAAATAGAATACTCAATTCAAATTCAAGAAGTAGTAATAATGTTCTCGTCTGTAGATTAATGAGTAGTGTTATTCAAATGATTTGTTTCTAGATGTATAGGGTGTCCAGTAAGTCATGAAACAGACACACTAAAAATTGAATATCTTCATTATAGCTCGACCAAACGGGCTCATTTTTTTTTACCAAGGATAGAGGCATGTTCACACTCCAAGTTCATACGGACAAGGTCAGTGAGAACCTTTGTTAAATACCACTATTGACCTCAACAAGAAAATTTTACTTGTTCACAGGTAAGAAAAAAAGTCACTTTGTCAGAAAAGAAAATTGAATATCTCCGTTACGGCTTGAGCAGACGAGTTAATTCTCTTACCAAAGATAGAGGTATGTTCACACTCCAAATCTGTATGGGGGACATTAATGAGAACCTATGATGAGCATATTGTTTTCTTTTCCTATCTGTGAACAATTAAAATTTTCTTGTTGAGATCAATAGTGGTATTTAACAAAGGTTCTCACTGACCTTGTCCGTATGAATTTGGAGTGTGAACATACCTCTATCCTTGGTAAAAAAAAAGAATGAGCCCATTTGGTCGAGCTATAATGGAGATATTCAATTTTTAGTTTGTCTGTTTCATGACTTACTGAACACCCTACATATACTGTTGTTATGAAATAGTTCTCATTTATGTGTTTGAATATTGAAAAATATTTTGTATAATGTGTTACATATTAACATTAAACGTAAACTACTTTCAATCAATTGAATAAGATTCATCTCACTCAACTACAAACAAAATCCTCCGTAGATTCGTTGGATTATTCAAATGTTTGTCGTGATTAAGAGATAAATTGAATATGTGTGAAAGAAAATAGATGTTTTCTATATAAAACTAAATTTATCCTTGGCAAAGAGAAGATATCGATATTGGTGAGAGAGTCCATAGTGGCTTATAACTTAAAATTTTTCTTCTGATGCATTAATATCATATTTTTATATTTAAAAACTGTTAGAAAATCCACTTTTAAGACAACATATGCTGAAAATTTACATTTATACAATCGACATCCACAAAACTTTTAACATGTTCTTTTATGAGATTTATCGAGCAAATCTTAAATAATACTATCAACAATAAGAAAATCAAATATGTATACTATGCGTTTCAACATATAATAGAGATATAGCAATTCCTAGGATGATGATTTCAAAAATGACTTTTTTGCAGTATTGAAAACTCATTGTCCTGTCAATTTTTTAAAACTTCTGCTGAGTTTTGATTGTTCTATTCGACGCTATTGTTAGATTTCATCGGGTCTAAAGACAAAATCCCAAATCGGTCGAAATTTACGAGTTTTAAGAGAAAATTCAATCAATTCCATAACTTTTTTTAACTATTCAAAGAAATCAAATGATACTATCGGATAGAACATGTAGATTATGAATACTACAGATATGTTACTTTTAAATCTAAGCTCCAGAAATTAGTACATTCAACATCCAGAGACAGCATATTTTCAAGATTCAGAACTACAAGTTTTCGTCAGTAATTTATGCCAACAGTGATCAACTTTGTATTCTATAGTTTTATTTCTTTAAAAAATTAAAATAGATTACAAAAATGGTCGATTTATCTCTTAAAATCCATAAATTTCGACCAATTCTGAACTTCGCGTTTTTAGTTTCCATGAGATATAATCATAACGTCGAATAGAGCAATCAAAATTGAGCACAAGTTTTTTTTTAAATTGCTAGGACAATGAATTTTCAATACTAAAAAAAAGTCATCTTTGAAAACACAGTCTAGGAATTGTTGCATCTCTAACATATAGCAATTTTAAAAACATATATAATAACGAAACACGACCGACGTTGATTTTCCTTCCATACGTTTTATTCTTTAGTTTTACAAGCTTTTTTTCTCAATAAATAAGTACACATTTTAATGATTCTCTAAACATTTTATTACCCTTTTGTTACATTAAATATCTAATAAAACCGAATCATATTCGATAATAGTTCATTTATTCGTAAAATAGTTGATGTATGTGAATCAATTTTAAGGAAGAATAAAATTTTCGCATCAGTCATTTTTATTCTCAATACACCGTGAAAAGCCATTGCTTTGATGTAACACCATCAATTCATATTCCATTTTTTGGTTCTTTAGTCTATTAAAAAAATGCTTCACATATGCTATTTCAACACCGCCGAGATCAGCGATATTTTCTCCGAAAGTTAAAAGTTCATTAACATTTGTATTTATTAATATCGAAGTATTATATTATTCAACAGTAATTTTTGTATGACAAATAAATTCATCCAGATGTCTTTTGATGTTGACTACAAACGAAGATTACCATTCTTATCCTATTTTCTTCTTTGATCATCGAAACTATGTGTGAAATCAGGATCAATTATAGAATCCATAACACCAGGATTAATTGTATCATTAACATGAAATAGAAAAAAAAAAAGATTCTTATAGAATACCAACAGGAAAAATGATTTCATTGAATAATAAATTCTACAACAAAGACTTCTTTTTTGAGATGTAAGAAAAAATGTTAACCTTGGAAATAGATTTTCATGTCTATCAACTGATTTATTATGATCGTCATATTTAAATACACTTGCTATTCAACCAAAATATGACTATTGATTCATATAAACATCAGTATAAGTTTTTTTCATTTTGATGATTAATCTAGTCGTTTTTATTTAGTTTTTATTAGTGCTGGTTTTTTTTGTTATATCACTCATTCTCATTTACTACGAATAATATGTTCAAAATAAAGGTCAATTGAATGATTAGCTGAAATTTAATACATATTGTTTGGCTTTATTTGAAAAAGTATTAATGTACATATAATTGTCCTGATAATTCAACTATGTATGATTTATTGGTATTTTCAATTATTTTCATTCATTGTGATTTATTTTTCAAACAACCTTATTTTTTTCATAAATTCAATGATTGACTACAGATTAATTTATCTAATAATTGGTAATAATCTGGTTGATACATAAGAAGAATTGTATTTTTCTAATGGTTAAAACATTAAAAATACGATGTTAACCAAAGTATAACACCATCTAATCAAGTGTTTATTATGATTGGTTTTTGGAAAATTATTTTTATTATCCTTCATGCAGGCATATGAATACATGAGTTTCTTTCATCAACATGAACATTAAATTGAAATATTAAATTGCTGATTCATTTTCTTATACCAATCAAGTAAAGCCATGATTAATTCTTGATATGTATTAACATTTTGAAGTTGAATAAAAATTTCTTTTAACAGATATATACCAATTCGTTATTTAATTTGTTCATTAAGTTGATAGTTTTGGAGAATCAACAGAATGTGATGCTTCTGATGTTCTATTTCTTGTTAACTCATCTAATGAGGAAAATCCTTTCAAATGATTGATTACTTTTCAGTCAAGTTTAATGAGCTATGGATAATCTGAAAAGAATTCGAGACATTAGTTTATTTTTATTGAGATATTGCATTTCTTTTTAAGTCAATACCATAATTCTTCTCAGGAACATCAGGAAAACTAAGTTTCGAGTTTCGACTTCACACGTTGCTCCGAGATAGACCTTAACTAGTATAGTTTATTGTGAAATTTTCATGTCTTTTAATTTGCTTCCATTCTGAAATAAGAACATGAAATCTGTCGGTGTATATAAACGATGTGAAAGATATGCTACTACCATAGTTCTGTCTTAGAATAGGAACAACAAAAAGATTTGATACTTTCACTATAAAGTATTCTGGTCAAGGCCTGTCTGTGTATAAAGTTTCAATTCGAAATTCGAAATTCAGTTCTTCTGGCACTCCTGGAGATGATCACGGTATGGAGCAAAAAAATATCGTCAAAATGCAGTTTACATCTAGCAATAAGCTAAGGCTTCGAGCTCTTCTCAAATTATTCATAGGTCATTAAGACTTACACGATTCACATCGTTGTAACTCAAAAGCGATCAGTCAGTCGAGAAATTTCCCTCATAAGAGTAAAGTTTCATATGACATTATAAAAATACCATCTCAATCTATTTGTGATGGACGAATAATTGCATGATTAAGTTAATGATCATTAACAAATATAAAAGCTAATTATATGCTGGACGGATGAACCATCAGTCAAGATCATTGAGATCAAAGAGTAATTGTTCATTGTCTCGAATTACAAAAAAAAATGAATACTAATAAAAAATAAACAGCGCTCGATTGTATAGTAAATTTATTTAGTGATGAAAGATAATTAAAAAAAAAAGAGTTCACACGTATATATTTGTCTATTGACATCATCACATTTAAATTCATGACAAGATACTAATATATTCATTCTAATAAGAAGGAAAGAAAATATTGTCAATGGTTCATTTTTTTCTACAACATAAACGACAAATGATTTGTTGTATTCAGATACTACAAGTAATGGTAGTAATAGCATAAATTCCCGATGTATAGGAAGAAGAGTGTTTGTTCTTTCTTTTTTTTGCAATCATTCGATCGCAGCTAAGGAAAAAGACGGCAATAAGAAGGACAAAAAAAAGAGAAAAGATCGACAAACATACATTTGACGATGTTCAATAAGAAAAAAAAATATCGTCTTTGTTACTGAGCTCAGTTGTCGATGACGATCAACGAAGATGAGAATCGTTATTATTTTATATGGCATCGTCATATTTACTATTAACAAATTTCCTTTAACTAGTAAGCACTTATATACAAGGTTAAAAAAAAAGGAATTTTCTTGTTAATAATAGAAACTTGTAATTCTGCATATTATCCACCAACAAAATGTCTTGATAAACTTGATCACTACGAATGTATTTGTGGACAAGGTCAATTATGGAATGGGTACACATGTGTTGGTAAGAAAAAACAAATGATTATTAAATCCAAAATAAACAAATAAATATTAATGTTTATATTTTAGCGGATGCTGTTGATTCAAGACTTGTTTTTAATGGTACTCGTTTTCCATCCTATATTGAACTTGATAGTAAAACATTTCCACGTATTTCGGAATTAACTATTTCATTTTGGATTCGAGTATGGGCAAAAATTGATTCAGCTCAGCATACAATTCTTTTTTATAAAACAGGTCTTATAATATTTCTTATTGTCTAATCACATATATCCTTAATTATTATAGATGATGCTCACCCAGTGTTACTTGTATCATTCATAGATAATTCTCGTTTACATGTAGAATTATTAAATAATATTTATGATGTATCTATACCATTATCTCTGGAACAATGGCATCATATATCAATAACACACAATCTTTCTGAAAGTGACAATATAAGAATAATGATAAATGGTACTCGTGTTGTTGTATTAATTTCATCGAAAACTTATCGATATGAAAAACGAAATCATCAAACAATTATTGATAGTGGTGGTGATTTTTTTGTTGGTCAAGCATTACGTACAACAAATTTAACAAGTAATAGTATGACAGGAGATTTTGAATTTGATATACAACGAGCATTTTATGGTGAAATTGCATTTATTAATTTATGGCAAAAAATTTTATCTGACCATGAATTACATCAATTAGCAAATGATTGTCATGCACAACGACAAGAATGTGGAGATGCGGTTACATGGATGGATTTTGTTAATGATATTAAAGGTGAAATTAAAATACATTGGCCATCAGGAATTTATTCACTTTTTGGTAAAAATTTCCTCAGACAAAAACAAAAACAAAAAAAAAATGAAATTTTTAATTTTCATTTATTGTATTATTTAGGTAATTGTCCTACTCAACAATGGCTTCATGAAGCATGTGATAATTATTGTCGTAAACTTGATGGTACAACTTTTTGTTTTTTTGTTTTTGATTTTGAATTATAATTAAATCGAAATGTGTTTATTTAATTAGGACCTCATTGTAAAAATGAAAGTCAATTAAGTATTATTTGGCAAAAAGCTATAGCTGGTCAAACAGTTGTTAAACATTGTCCAGGACATGTAAAAAATGGTAAATTTTTTTTTTGTAGAATTTATTAATAAATATATTCATAGAAAATTTAGGTAGTGTTTATCGAACGTGTCAACGTATTGAACAAATAGCTCGTTGGACATATATTGATTATAATGAATGTACTCATCCATTAATAAATGCAATTGATCAAGAATTACATATACCTAAATCAGATAAAGAAGAAATACTTGTACTTCGTGATAAATGTGCATATTTAGCTGAAATGACATCAATGAATTTAACAACAACACAATTATATAGTTCAATTGATCTTATTTTACTTATTGAACAAATTGAACAATTAACAAAAGTTTTAGTATGTTTTCATCTCTTTATATTTTCGAAAAAATAAAAATAAAAATTTTTGTTTTGTTTTGTTTTTGTTTTGTCTTTTCAGACAAGTCATTTTGATAGTTTAACACAATGGTATTCATCATCCGATGAAGCATTATATTTAGGTGATATAAATGCTACTCTCCATATACATCGATATTTAGTTGAAGTTATATCAGATTTAATTGATGAAAGATATGCATCTTTATGGATTGGTACGAATCCATTAGGAAATGATTTTATACGTTTATTAACTTCACTTCAACGTTTAACAATGATTCTTGCACAAATATTAATTAATAATTGTGATCAATTTCCTGGTTGTTCATTTAGTGTTTATACAAAAAATATAAATCAAACAATGAGGATTTTAAATCGACAAGAATTAAATTCATTTTTTTATGAAAATGAAAAAACACAAATCAAATTTAGTTCTATTAATACAAAGAAAAATCTAAATAGTAATAAAACAACATTGATTTATGATGATAAAACTAATAGTAAGAATGATTAATAGTATAGACTATAATTACAAGTATTTGAATTAGGTTCTGCATGGTATTCAGTATCTATTACAAGTTTAGGTACAGCTCATCTCTATATACCAAATCTTCGATTAGGACGGTAAACAAACATAAAAATTTTCATAGCAGAAACTATCGAAAAAAAAACCGTTCTAATTCTAGTATCTCAAAATATGACAATATAAATAGTCATGTCGTATCAATTGATGTTAAACTTCGTAAACCAATTCAACAATCAAATTATTTGTCAACACTTGTATCAACCGATAAGATACCTATACTTATAACAATGGGTTATTTAAATGTAAAATTTTCTTTGTACTCATTTGTATGATAAAAAAAAAGAAACAAACAAAAACTTTTTCTTTTAAATAGTACGATAATATCTCAGGTAATCAATGTGTTTATCTTGACACAACAAATGCATTTACACATGGACAATACAAGTAAATAAAAACAAATTCTATAGATCAGATTTTCTTATTGAAAATATATTTAATATTTTTAGAGCAACACTTTTTCGTCAATGGCATTGGCAAAATTCGCCAAATGTATGTGATATAAGTCAAATATCTATAGCTGATAGAGCTACATGTTCATGTCTGATTTCCAATGGAACATTTGCTATTACAAGTGATATGTTCGATCCAAAGGTGAGTGATATTTTTTTGAACAAAAATTATTATTATTATTATTATTATCATATAAATTTTTATTCTAGTGGCGTCCATTAGAATTTCGATTATATCCATTAGGTATATTCTCCTATATTGGCTCATTTGTTCATATATTGTTTGCATTAATGACATTATTTATGTTAAATTATCTTCGGTAAAATATTCTTCTATTAACAAAAAAAAGAAAGAAAACTTTTCTTCTTGTTTAGAACTCATTCATCAGCTGCATATATTCATAAACATTATTCATTTGTATTATGTTGTTCACAAATAATTTTAATTTTAGCATTTAATGGTATACCATATCATCATTCATTTCTTTGTCGTGCAGTTGCATGTACAACACATTTTTTTATACTTTCATCTTATTGTTGGTTAATGAATGAAGCTTTTAATTTATATATACAAATAACTTATACAACACATCCAGCTGTTGCTGGTGCAAGTACAGCACTTTCGGATGCGGCTTCAAAATATCGTTTTCTTGGAATGGGTTATAGTAAGTGAAATTTTATTTTAAAATTTATTTTATTTCAATGTTTATTCTAGTTTTACCATTTTGTATTGTAACATTACTTGCATCAATAAAAAAGTCAACATATTTTATGCAAATAAAAATGCGTTTATGTTTTATTGATCTTGATGATTGGTTGAAAATATATTTTATACCAATATCAGCTATTATATTTGTATGTATAAGTTTAGTAGAATATTTTGTTTGTTTTTTTTTTGATTCTAAAGAAATTCCTTTTTTGTTTTTCGTTGGTAATAGATAACAATAATGGTAATGATCTTTTCAGCTAAACAACATCATGAAAGTTCATATACGAAAAATGAAAAAGCCAATGAAGTTATTGTGTAAGTTTTAACAAAGAAGAAATTTTTGATATGAATAATTGATGATTGAATTTATAGAACATATACTGGTGGTATTTGGTCACAATTATTTTTACTAACAATTAGTTGGTCTTTTGCAATACTTCCTTATTTTTATGATGAAACTATTCTCCGACTTTTACATGGCTTTTTTAATGGTTTACAAGTACAAAAATTTATTTGTCTTTTTTTTTTTTTTTCTATGATAACTAATTTTTTAATTGTAGGGAGGCTTTCTTTTTCTTTCATTTTTTTTATTTAATGATGAGGTAACATTATCTAGTTAATAACTCTCTTTTGAAAATTTATATTTTAAATAGATTCGTCGGCATTATCGTGATCGTCGTCGTCAATTACGTCGTATACAATTAATGGAAGTTCCTTATCAAAGTTCAATAGTTGGATCCGAAGGACAACATTCATCAGTTGTTGTATCTTCAGGATCACCACCAACATTACGTCATGGAGTAAATTTATCAGCACCAGCATCACCATCAAAACAAACGTCTGTTACATCAGTTGTTTCAAATGTGTTAAATCGAAATCAACAACATTCATCAGTTCGTAATACTTATGACGCAATGAAATGGACATTAAGAAGAAAATCATCAGTTGAAACATCGAAATCAAGAAAGAGTTCTTCAAATAAAAATATTGCTAATGAAGATGATTATCGTATTACTGTTGTTTAATTTTTTTCAAATTGTATATAGAAAAAATTTCAAATAAAACTTAAAATGAAGTCAATGTGAAAGAATATGTTATTCATTCTGACATGAAATTATTATTATTGATATGATTCATCTATGATAAAAGTTTTGAATCATAGAAGAAAAAAACAACATAAGAGAACGCATATAAAAAGCAAATACCACCTTGATAGTCGCACACGATACTTCATAAGTTTCATATTACAAATGTCTTCAAGTGAATCGTTATTTAACTCACTAACAGAGGAAGATAAAGAATTATTTAATACTGTAAGTTATTTTTATTAATCAAAATACTAAATTTATCTTATGTATAGTACAAAGAATCGATCAATGCTCGAATTCGTGAAACATTTCCATTCATACCTGTTGATTATGATGTAAAACCATTGAGTATTCATCAACAACTTGGTTGTGGTACATTCTATACTTATAAGGTATAATTTCATATTTGTTTTGAAATAATAAAATGATTTATTGGATATTTTCAAGGTTGCATTGCCTAATGATCAAATTGCTGAAGTCGCTTTTCATTTAGGTGGTAAACGAGCAACACCACTTGTTGGACCACCTCATTTTGAAATTACCAAAAGCAACTAATTAAATATTAGACATTTAAATAAAACTTAATAAATAATGTATTTCGTGACACAAACTTTGTAATAATCTACTATGATAAATAGCAAGTCAAACATGGAAATCTGACAAGTGAAAAACAAATGTGGCTTCTTTTTTTGATAATATATCTATGCCATTAACATGAATGATTGATCGACAGACATGCAAAAACATTTCAATGTTTTTTCATATATATTTTTTCTCAATCAGTATTCTACACAGACGCAACTCTTCGTAGTTGTATCCGAGTTGACAACTTTTTTTTTCATGCTCGAATTTGACCCAATCTAATGATCTTATATTTAGACACAAATCGGGCACGGTTATCGGTACTCTAGACTCATCCAGTACTACCCAGTAAATTCTATCATTCATAAAAAGTTACAAAACTTTTATGTCATATTCAAAAATATTCGATTTAGTTACACAGATACATAACATTCTGATTCTAAAATTCTATCTATGTTATTAAATATACGCTCATTTATTGTTGATAACACTGAAACTCATGATCATATTGGGGTCAAACATAATGAATATAAATAAATATATACAGATCTACATCATGAATATCAAAAATTATTTCTATTTTTTATTATGTTAGTGATTCTCAAGTATGCCAATCTAACTACTATGATATGATGGAACTATTTTTCACTTCTATACACTATGAACAAATAGCAATTTTAAAACAATTAAGACTATTATTCGTTATGAGAATGTACATAGCTGCCGGGTAGGCGATTGTAAATAGTGTCTTACAATTCTGCCGAGTATGCGGTGCACAACTTGGCTCGGATTATGAATCCAATTAAAGATTCAATAGGTCAGTTTGGATACCGAAGATGAAAAACGTTGGCAGGTCAAGTCAAAGTGTAATGTCATACTTGGTCTCGGCTTCGCAGCAACGTATGTTCCGATAATATATAATTTTTCTAATTATTCCAACGTATTGTTTAGTTTTTGATATCAACGTGAAAAACTATTTACTCATGTCTTAACGAAATCAGCCTACTCGTTAACTCCTAGCATTCATACAAAGATAGATGAGTTTTGGTAAATTGTATAACGGAAATGATGAAACAATCGATAATATACATATGTACTAAAATTATCATATTTAGTTCCATTATTTGACTTTTAACTCTAGCATTGTGAACAAAAAGAGCAAGTATGTTCAATTATACTGAAGAAATTTTAAACTCAAGTAGACAATCACTGAGTAGTTGTTTGTGCGATTGCACATAATTTCTTTCTACGTGTTACTATTTAGCCAATTGACTCCACATCGAATATTTTTAAGATATGAAAGCTTAGAAACGTATGATGACTGAAACACTCATCAGGTATTCAGTACTACAGAGCATCAGTATGCACTTCGCCAAAATGAAGATCGTTGAAATTCGATAATTCATACGTCAGCAATGTGGCTATCAGCAATAGCTATTTTTGATGATTTATATTTTGATGACCGAACCTATCGACAGTATTCTAAAATAATATCTGTAGTATCTCTCTGTGTAGTAAATATTCGAAAAGCAAACGAAAGGGATGATTGTCGATAGAATCATCAAAAGAAATTCATCGATATGAAGATGATCAAAATAATAATCGGTGAAATTCATTTCGAAAAGTTATCTTTTTGATAATGTTCGTTGTGGCGTTGACATACATAACCTTGCCGAAAGCACTTCGGGTACAAAAAGTTGTACCTGTGCAGAATATTAATCATAAATGAACTCTATCTTGAATTTTTTTTTTCATGCCAGGTACGCGAGCCAATGTAGCACTTTGCATCTAGACACAAGCATAAAATCGAGATCAGTACCAAGCACTTGACCTAGTTCTAGAATCTCATCTCAACCATTTATTGGATAATCAAAAAAAAAGCCATAATGGAGAACAGACAATGCTCCATTTTTTGATCCATCTATCTGAATAGTTTAGTTCTAGATTATGTCTATTAAGAATATGATAAGTAAGTCTAACTAACACATTAGAAATAAACCATTGAATAGAAAGATCTTAACAAAGACATTTTTAGTATTGACTATGAAAATGATGTTTCACATCATATTCGAGTACATCAATAGCAATTATCATATCCATTCATCGATTCTTTCATGTTATTTTAAACTAAGTGCTAAGTCAATGAAATTGTTATTAACATAACATTTCGAATAAACTTATCTTGACAGTCATCATCAAACAAAAATGAAAGAATAACATTTTAATAGAACGATCAACTCTTTAACACTATCGTCAATATCACTAACGAGGTAAGTCCTCCAACTGATAAATCGCTTTTGAGACGAGACTATGTCCATTATATAGACACAAATGAGCTATGAATACCTTGAAAAGAGTTTGTGCTCATAGTTTATTATTGTTGAGATACTTCACTTTTTAAAGAATTGCCGTGGTTCTTTCAAGAACATGAGCAAAACTTATTTTTCAAATTTCGACTTGAAACTTTGCATAGAGACAGAGCTTAATGAGAATAATTTTTTGTGAATATTTCAGATCTTGTTGCTGTTTCTATCCTATGATATAACTATGGTAATAAAGTGTCTTTTTGCACCACTTGTATCAACCAACAGATTTGATGTTCTTATTTCAGAGTAGCAGCAAATTCAAAAACTTAAAACTTTCACAATAAACTTCGCTCGTTAAGGCGTGTCTCTGGGCAAAATTCCAAGTCGAAATTCGAAAATGAGTTTTGCTGATGTTCTTGAGGTGAACTACGACATTCACTTAAAAAGTACCGTAACAATGCAGTATCTGCGGAGTAATAAGCTTTGGGACGGACTCTGTTCAGGATATTCATAGCCCATCTGGATCTACATAATGTACACAGTCTCGACTGAAAAGCGATTTACCAGTTGGGGAAATTCCCTCATGAGCTGATATTATGCTTCTCGGTTAGGAGGCGGGGTGTGGCTCTCCTCCCAAATGCCCGACTTTCTGCGAAATTCTTAATAATTCCTGCCAATTTTTTAAAGATTTGTGGTAATTTCGGACAGCAACCAGATTTTGAAACACGATTAACCTTTCTCAGGCAAAAAGTAAAATAGAAATAAACAGACAATGTTATTGTGAGGTGAAAAAAATTGGGGAGGCCCCAGCGAAGCGACGACTTGATGGCGAATCGTCTATTGTGAGTGGGGTCGGGTCGTGGTAAGCTTAGTCCTTCCTTCGCCCCCCAGTCACCACTTCAAGAACGAAAGCATTTTTCTATCGACAACCCCGGTCGATATTCTAAATTATCACTGACTAAATCATGATTATTTGACGATACAATATTTTTCTTTTGAAATATCACGTTTTCTGATAAAAAACACAAGATAATATTTATTTATCATGCATGAATAATTCACTATTCCGTTCGATAGATCTTGGCCTATTATCATTACCTGTTTTGTTAAAATAGAATATTTACAAATGAATAACTATGTAATTATTAAGATCTAATTTTTATTTCTCAACATGATTTCTTCATCATAATTTTAATTTGACTCTATTTGTTTTTTTGTTTTCATCATCACAAAAGCTCATTGATAACAAAGACATAAACACAGAAAAGAAAAGGAAAACTCGAATTTTTTTGTTAACACATCGAAAGAAAAAAGAAAAGAAATAAAAAATAAACGCAAGAAAAAAAACCAAGAAACACAAGTCTTCTACATAGACATTTTATTTTCCAAGCAAAATCCCCTCCCAAAAAAAAACAAAAAATCCAAACGTTATGATCTTCTATTTTTTTTTTCTAATGTTTTGCCAGAAAAATAACCAAATATGATTTTAATTACCTTGACAATACATAAGTCAGAGTACTAATATATACATACAAACAATGACAAACAACAAGAAACAGAAAAAAAAAGGATACAAAGGAAAAAAAAAACAAACAAGAAAATGTTCATTCGAGATAGAGTTGAGAATTAGAATGATGATAATAATCAAAAAAAAGAAAAGATTTGTTTGTTTAACATGAACCACCAACCTATGAAAGAAATCCATTGTATAAAACTTTTGCTTTTCAATGAAAAAAACATACTTGTTCTTGATATACATCAATTGTATCATTATCTTCCATTTCTAGGAGTTTAGGCGTTTCATCATCATTTATACGTTTACCATCAAATAGAAACCTAAATATTAGAAATAAAAATCAAAAGATTTTTATTTCTAAAAAAATTATTTACCGCAAACTACCAACGGCAACTCCTAAATAAATCTAATAAATTTTTAAATATAAACTAATTATTTTAATCTAACCTTGACGCTCAGCATATGATTTTTTTAATTTTCCCATTGATGTTGTCATTTTTACCTTGAAATGAACTTCACCTATAAAAAAAAAGACACAATAAAATTAATTCTCATTTAACACAAAAAAACGAATTTTTGTTTTAAATCAATAATAACTCACTATTGTCTTGACCGACTACTCTAAGTTTAATATATTCATCTGTTTTACTTGTATTATTGCTATTTGAAGCGTCAGCAGTGGACATTTTTCGTGTGTGTGTGCGTGTGTTTTTTTCTTCTTCTAAAAAAGAATAAAATAATAAGCGTAAAATATTTTTTATTCTCTTGACTAAATGAATATTTCATCGTTCATATGAGTGAATATGTGGCAAGAATTTTAATAGATAGATTTTTTTTTTTTTGAGAAAGAGAGAAAGTGGGCAAAGAATGTTCTAGAATATGACGATGATTGGTCAGTTTAGAAAGAAAACAACATAGTCATGCACTATAAAATACAAATAGAGCTACTAGCAATGAGAAAATCATGTTAGATGACGCTTATATCGGTAAACAGTGGCGTCCTCTTTCTCTCATTCTCTCTCTCTTTTTTTTGTTCTAGTTTGCCCTAGTGTCACGTGTTGAATTATTATAGAAAACTTCTTTGGGGGGTTCTACTATGCTTGAATGATTGGTTAGTCAAAGAAAAAAAATCAAGGAAAATAAATGAAAAA